GACTTCCTCTATTTTAGACTTGGGATTAGTTGTTTTGTTATATATGTGGGTTAATATGATGTCGTCGGCGAATGCTTGAAGTTGGAATCCTTGAGGAAGTTGTATTTTCAGTAGATCATCAATTAGTATATTCCAAAAGATTGGTCCCGCTACTGAGCCTTGAACACACCCCATTTCGACTCCTTTTTTGGATATTTCTCCTTCAAAATTTATTAATACTTCTCTGTCTTTAAAATATGATTTAATGAGTTCGAGTGTGTTTTCTCCAATCCCTCTGTTTCTTATTCCTCTTAATATTAGATTCCATTGTGCATTGTCAAAAGCTCCTTTAATATCTAATGATATGGCTATTACTTTTTTTCTCTTTGCTTTGGCTTTGTTTATGTTTCCGAGTAGATATCTAATGGCATCAGTAGTTGACGTTTGTGGGGTAAACCCAAACTGATTGACTGATAGTTTATTGTGTTTTTTATAGTCCCATATTATTCTTTTGACCACAAGTGATTCGAGGCACTTCCCCATAATGTTTAGTAGACCTATGGGTCTGAAAGATTTGATCCCCAGATCTTTATCTCCCCCTTTGGGTATAATTTTTACATTAGCTGACTTCCATATTTTTGGAAAATATCCTATTTTAAGACACTTATTGTAAATTGATTCTAGTATATCAGGAAATTTATAGTGGAATTTTTTGATTATATCTGATGTGATTCCATCATTCCCTGGGGCTTTGTTTTTGTTTAGAGGTTTTATTGTTTCATATATTTCTTCTTTGCTGAATAATGGATCACAATAGTCTAATCCGTTTCTAATTTCAAGATCAGTTTCCTCATCAGTTTCGTGTGATTTGCTCGGAAAGAAATGGTTTAGTATGGCTTTCCCTGTGTCTCTTGTGTCCTCAGTGAATAAATTATTTATTTTAATTGTCTTATTGGTTTTCATATTTGGGGCGTCTTTAATAATCCTGTAGGCATTTTTCCAGACATCATCTTTACCTTGTTTTTCAAGATATTCTTTCCAACTTTTAAGAGATGACTCACTCATTGCTTCTTTATATTCGTTTTTATATTTAAGGAGTTTTTCGACTAATTCCCGATTAATGTCAATTTCCTCTATATTATTAATCCTTCGGATTGCATTGGTTTTTCTAATGTTATTTAGTTTTCTATGATATTTGGCAACTTTTTTCTTTAGTTCGTCAATCTTTTTGTTCTTCCATGGACAAAATTTTTTACCCCCTTTCCTCAATGGTATTGATTTATTACATGCAGTTTGTATACAACTAGTAAGTTTTTCCACAACATTATCTATTGAGGATTTGTCTATTATATTGTTTATTGTTGAGGATTTTATATTGTACTTCTGCATTTCATCATTACACGTGAGAGTAAATAGATCCCAGTCCGCCTTATTTGATTGGTATTTAAATGTTGTTTCGTTTGGTGTTGGTAGAATTTCTTGTTCAGTGATTTCAAAGCATATTGAGTTGTGATCACTATTAATTATTAGATCTTTATTTGTGTGCCAGTCTGTTATATTATCCCATATACGCTCACTTGCAATTGTTAGATCTATAATGGAGGTGAGTATACGGTCTCCTCTTATTGTGTCGAACGTTGGTTGGTTGTCTTTGTTCATTACATCTAAGTTGTTAATTATACACATATTCATTACTTTGTGTCCATTATTATCACTGTTGTGTTTTCCAGTCCAGAAGTAGTGTTTGGCATTAAAATCCCCGCCTATGACTATGTTTTTGTTCTTTGCGGCACTGTTGATCATTTCTATCAATGGTGTAATGTCTTTTTGTGGTTCATTATATAATGAGCATAATCTAATTTTGGGTTTTACATTTGGTAGATCAACCACCACTATATTTGAGTTTGAACATTGGGTAATCTGTAATACTTTTATATTTTTATTGAATACTATTATAGCAGCTTTAACCACTTCGTCAGATTTATTTTGTATAACTCTACAGTTTTTATAGTTTGCCACATACCCTTTTGCTCCAGTATACGGTTCACTTATTAATGCAATGTCGAATTTCATTAGTCCTTCCTCTATCAACTCGTTCGTCGCGTTTCTACATTTTGCTAAGTTTATTTGTATAATCTTGACTACTTTTCCGTTAGTGGGATCCATAATCAATTGAGTTATATATTTTTGTTTGTATTCTGATGATTTGCGGACATTCAAACGAGTTGGCACCGTGTTGTGCGTTGATATTCGTGTTGTATTTCTTGTTGGCCGTTGAGCAATTATAGCAATTCTTTTGTTTTATACTAAGCCTGTGCTCGCATGAGGAACTTTTATGTTCTCCTCCACAGTGAGCACATCTTGTTTGTTGGGTGCATTTTTTGTGTATATGGCCAAAACCTAAGCAGTTCCAGCATTGCGTGAAGTGTATTTTTAATTCAAATGGTAGATTTTGATGTAGAATTTTAAAACCCTCCAGCAATTTAATTTCCTTAAAGAGTTCTGGGTTGCATTCAAGTGTTATGTCTTTAAATGTTTCGCTTTTGTCTTGTTTTGTATAAGTTATTTTGAAGGCATCTCTGAATCCTTTTTCATCAAAGTTTGTGTTTATCTCACTATGATTTTCATACATTTCTTTTGTTAGTTCTTCTTCAGTCACATCTCCCATCAGTCCCTTTATCGTAATTCTCGGTTTCTTCTTCTTCGGTAGTTCCGCCTTGAGGTCCTCATTTGACTTTAGGGTGTTGATTAGTTCATTCCTTTCTTCCTCAGTTCTGAGTTCAATTCTTATGGTGTTGTTACTGAGGTTTGCCATGTTATGCATACCATTCTTAAGTTGACCGCTATTTATAGTACTCCTCACTTTCTTTATTATTTCTTTATGTGTATCTTCTTCTTTCTTGGATTTTATTATTGCGGCAAATAGGTTTGAGGTCCTCATTGTATTGATTGGTCTTTTAAAATTTTGTAGATTTCCGTTCCCTTTGTTCCCTTCCTTTACTACTGTGGCGAAGGATTTGGTTGTCTGTTGTATTTCCTCTATTCTGTTCTGTACGTGTTTTTGACTTTGAATCATATTTCTCATCTCATTATATGTTTTCTTTTCTTTGTTTATGGCTTTGTTGACATATTGGCCAAATATCTTCATACCAGTGTTGGCCGTCTTAACCTCCACGATGTATTTGCCGAGAGCCGGTAGGAGGTCTTCCTTGAGTTGTGTTTTAAAATCTACTTTCGTTTTTGCAGTGCTTGCTGTCTCTGGTTTATCGGCCAATTTTCTAATGTTTTGTATGATCTTTTCGGCTCCGATGCACGCCATCAGTATCTGACTTTGAAATTCCTCAATAGCAATCATTTCATCTGAGGGGATTCTCCTCTTTTTTGTTGTGTCGCGTGGAGTAGTTGTGGATTCATCGATTGTTTCCTCAAGGATGTTAAAATAATCTTCGTCGCTATTCACCTCGTCGTCCTCTTCAGTTGAATTAATTACATTTTTGTTTGTCACCTTTTTTGGTGGCATTTTTATTGTGTTATCACCTCACTTTTGTGATCAGTGTAGTTGTCACTGTTCACCCACCGTATGTTCGGCGGTGCTTAAATCGGGTTAATTATAGTAATTATTCGAGAGCTCAATTTATAACACGTTGTTAGTATACAGCGCCCTCCCTTTCTCACTCTCCTATATATACTGTACAGTATATATCAAACAGATATAAAATTATCGATAATATAACATCTCATCTGTGTTTGACTCTTGACATTAGATAGTGTGTATGTGTTTTGTGCTACCAGTGCTGCAATGCATACATATAAGTTATATACGGTATATATATATAAATATATTTGAAAGAAACGGAATCCCAGAATATTCTGTGTGTGTTTAATCAATAGCATCAATACATTTCAAGAGAGAGAGAGAGAGAGAGAGAGAGAGAGAGAGAGAGAGAATTATAACATTGTTTGCTATTTAGATACAGTATATCTCACTGTACTCTSTGTGTGTGTGTGTGTGTGTGTGTGTGTGTGTGTGTGTGTGTGTGTGTATGTATGTATGTATGTATGTGTGTGTGTGTGTGTGTGTGTGTGTGTGTGTGTGTGTGTGTGTGTGTGTGTGTGTGTGTGTGTGTGTGTGTGTGTGTGTGTGTGTGTGTGTGTGTGTGTGTGTGTATTATATATATATATACTGTCATATAGGCTTTTTTTGATCGACAAAAATGTCTACTAAAAATGCATGTTTTCAGTAAATAATGAAAACGATAAATATATAAATAAATGTCATATACTGTATATATATWTTTTTTTGTATATTTATTTGGACACTGTGTTAGTTGTGTAGTAAATTTGTATTATATTTCACCAAAAAAAAAATTATCCAAAAAATATCATTATTGATATAATATTATTTTCTTTATAATGTAAATAGCTAGATAATTTTTTATAATAAATATATATATATATATATATATATAGATTTATTCGTCAAAATAAATTGGAAAACATTTTTTTTTAAACTTTATTTTTGACATAATATAAAAAATGAAATTTAATATACATAAAAAATTGTTATGATTTTTTATATAAAAAATATTAAAACTATTATAATTAATAAAATCAAAATTAAACAATTATATTTATTATTTTTTTTAAAAATTGTATTACAATTTATTATATGCACACATTTTTAATATTCACTAATAATAATTATTATTATTTGGTTAAACTTAATTAATTATTTATGATTATTTATGATTATTAGTAATAATACTAATTATTTTCTAAATTATTTTTTTTGCAATTATTATTATTATTATTGTTTATTATGTTTTTTTTATCACCAAATTATTATTACCTGAAATAACCTGAAATAGACATAACATATCCTTAAAAATCATATTTTTCATACCATATTGTAGTATATATATATGCTAAACAAACAAACAAACAAACAAAAAATAATTTCCATTTCCATCCATTTATCTATCTATCTATCTATAACTCCCGTTCCCCTCATTGAATAATAGGAATACTCAGTTCAGGTAACATTCCGTGAACAGTGGAACGATAATCGCTTACAATTTGACGACATGAACGGCCAGATCAGGTATCTGGTACTGACCGACCCGAACCGTATATGGAAACCCGACCTATTTTTTAGTAACGAAAAAGATGGCCACTTTCACGAAATAATTATGCCAAACGTATTGTTACGTATCTATCCAAATGGAAATGTCTTATACTCTATACGTATATCATTAGGTATGTATGGGTGGGTGCCCGCCCACCCACGTATAAGGGTCTATAGCTAACTAACTACAATGAAACTATCAATCTATCTATTTAGTTGATATAACAATGATAGGGTTGGATAGATTTTTTTTTTTTTTGGGATAATAGTTATGTTATATATATATATCGTTGGAAATTAATAGGTTTTATCAATCAAATAGTACTTATATGTTATATATATATAGTATAACTATCCTTCCTCTCATTCTCTCTCATTCTCTCTCTCTCTCTCTCTCTCTCTCTCTAGTCTAACATATGTGAGAGAAAGAAAGAAAGAGAGAGAGAGAGAGAGAGATAGGTTTCCTATTTGCTTAAGTAGTTTTTTTTACATAAAAAAACTAAAACTAATGGACAATAGATAGGTTTTAGGTTTTATTTTTTTTGTTGTTGTATAGTCTTAAAACACAAAGTTATATATATATATATATAAAGTTTATCTTTAAAGTTTAGTCGACAACAACAACAACAAAATATATATAATATATCTAAATACCCAGTAAATGGATTTCAAATGTAAATATTACTGAACCATAGTTTACAATTGTGTTTTGTTAACCAAAATAAAATATATTTATATATAAACATTACTGTATATGTAATACTATGTATTTATATATATAAGATATACTTAAACTTATTATTATTATTATTTTATTTTCCACACATATATATACTCCGTTATCACATTTGCATTGCCACTACTCCTCAACAACAATTGGATAACCCATATTTACTGTATATATATATATAACCCATATATTTGGCTCCGGTATCTTATCTACCATACCATACCATTGCAATCTACAGTACTTGCCTGTCCAATGGATCTCAAATATTATCCATTAGATAAACAAACATGTTCAATTCAAATGGCCAGTTGTAAGTAATATTTTATTATTATTTTTTTTTATAAAAATAGATTTTATTTGACATTTTTATAAAAAATAAATTTAATTACTAAACAATGCATTACACAAAATATATATACTAAAATTATTATTAATTTAAAATTTAATTAATTAAATTTTTCTATTAGTTAATTAGTGATTTACTTTACATTAAGTGATCTAAATATTTTTTAAAAAAATATTATATGATATAATTAGTGTATATTTATATCATAGTTTAATCTGATTACAACAAAAATTATGATAATAATTATATAATTAACAATTAACAACAAAATAAATTTCATGTTAACAAACAAACAAATAAATATTTTTTTTATAAATCTATTGATATAATAATAAAGTAATTTTCTCATTAGTTTTTTTTGTTTGTTTGTCATGCAATACATGATTTTATTTTATGATGTCGTTATTATCAATATATATATATATATATATATATTGATAAATTGATTGCAATGACACACTAACACACACACACACACACACACATAGACACTGATCATTAGTGATCATTGGCGACAATATTTTGTGCAAAATTGACGAAATAAATAATAAATTTGAAACAAAACAAAATTTTTGGCGACAATAAAAATTGCATAATAGACACTATAAAGTTAATAGTTTGTATTGTATGCTAACAACTATATAATACAAACAATGTTAGTTTGATATTGATTTATCATATATATATGTAGCATAAATATGTGTATGTATATATGTGTGTGTGTGTGTATGTATGTATGTGTGTGTGTGTGTGTGTATATAAATGTATGTGTGTTTATGTGTGTATGTATGTGTGTTTATGTGTGTGTGTTTATGTATGTATGTATGTATGTATGTATGTATGTGTGTGTGTGTGTGTGTGTGTGTGTGTGTGTGTGTGTGTGTGTGTGTGTGTGTGTGTGTGTGTGTGTGTGTGTGTGTGTGTGTGTGTGTGTGTGTGTGTGATTGCATTCAAAACAAAAATATTATATTTTATATACCGTATATATATAATATATATAAATCTCCATTTAGATGCAATTTAAAACTTAAACATTATATTATATTGTTTTTTTTTCTTAATTTTTGTTTGTTTTATTTTAGTTTCTAGTGTATATTATTATATGAGATAAAATTTTTTAGTAATGTCTATAGTTTTTTTCTAAAAAAAAGTATATAAATTAGATAGTAAACAAAAACAAACAAAAAATAAATGTTTTTATCATCCATTTGTATAACAACACTAGTTGTAAAACAATAGCTATTTAAACAAAGTAAAACATAAATAAAAATTATTATTATTATTATTAGTGATAATTAGTTAATAAAATATATTGTAATAACATTTTTTATACAGTTATACTAATTTATAGTAAATTGAATACACATAATAAACTAACAAACAAACAAATATTTTTTTGGATAAATAAATAATTATATGTTTTTAAATTTAAAAAACATTTATTTTTTATAAATATAAAAAATAAATATAAACTATATTTTATAATATGTTAATAATTAATTAATTATATATTTATTTTTTTAGATGGCTATACCACCGATGATCTAGTATTTCTATGGAAAGAGGGTGACCCAGTACAGATTACCAAAAATCTACATTTACCCAGATTTACACTTGAAAAATATTTGACATCATACTGTACTAGTCGCACAAATACTGGTAATTATTATTTATTTTTAAAAAATTTATTATTTTTTAATTTAATTTTTAGACAATATTTTTTTCAAAAAAAAAAATTAATAATAATCTTTTTTTTTTTTTTAATTAAATGCTAATTAAATAACATATAGTATTAACCTAATAGTTACTTAGTATTATGCATATTAATATAAATCTATGTAATCATATACTGTAATGTTGTAATGCATTGCATAACAACAACAACAACAAAAAGTTTTATAAGTTTTTTTTATACCAAAAAAAAATAATAATAAAAGTTTATACTATAGATAAAATATATATAATTTGCATAATTTTTTTTACTACTACTGTATATTTAAACATTAAACTTAATTTTATTGACATTACTGATAATATTCAACATAAATTTTCTACTTGCCCCAATATAAATTTTTACAGTAATATATTATAAAATGCTAATAACATTTAGCCAACAGTTTATAGTAGTATAAGTATACTAACAAAAAAATATATAACTTATATAAATAAATATGATAAATAATGTAATTTTTCATACAATTTGCAAACACACACACAATATGTTGTAAATTTATGCACACAACAAAAAAATTGAAAATTATTTCCTTCAAAACAAATTTATTTTTTTCAACTCTCGTGTCTCTGTGTGTGTAGTGTGTGAGTGAGTGTGTGTGTGTGTGTGTGTGTTATTATATTATTATTATTATTGCAATATAACGTGTGTAATATTTTTTATATATTATAAAAAAAATTATTTTATTTTGTGAGTAACAAAATATATAAATTGAAGCGAAAAATAGTCCAATTTTTCTATTTTATGTTATATTATATTTTTATATAAATATTAGTTTTTTTACTTGAAATAAACGGAAATTTCAAATTTTTTACTGACATATTATTACATATTATAATGTGTTTGTGTGTACAGTATATACTATATAATATATCTAACATAATATAATAGCTATAATAATAAAAACATTGATAATATAAATTTAGTTAAAAATCAATTTTTCTACAAATTTGTATAATCTTATAGACTATGAATATAATAAATAAAATATATTAATTAATTAATATAATAAATTTTTTTATATATATTAAATAAAATTCACAGAATATATATATATATAGTTATTGTAGAATAATATAGAATAATATATTCAGTAATTAATATTATTTATTGAATAATTCATCAAAAATAAAAAGTTTTGACGCAATTTCTATGAAATGCTTAAATGGATTATTAAATATATCATATTATTATTATTATTATTATATAATTTATATATAAAAAAAATTTTCACCAATTAATGTCATGAAAAAATATTATCCAATAATTTCAACCCCAAAAATAATAAGACATCAATTAAGTTATATATATATATATATAAGTTATATTAAATATAATATAATACATGATATTCTTGGCTATCATTTTAAGTGTCACTCATATTATGTTTTTTGCTTCAATGCCTTTAGTCTAATATAACTATATATATATATATATACAGTATATATACTTCACTAGTATTTATGTAATATAAAATTGTAAGCTTTTTTCACATCCAAAAAATAAATAACAAAAATTTTTTCTATATATATAGTATATAGAGTTAAACCAATAGGAAAAGCATATTTTTGTCGTTAAAAAACATTAGACATAAATATTTTTTTACACATAAACTATATAATCCTATAATATATTTATTTATATATATATATACTGTATATAAAGTATATTAATATATATAGCCATAAGATATTAATCACATTTTTTCTTTCTCTATATATTTTTTTTAATTAGCATTACATCAAAAAAATACATTTAAAATTAATTTAGCAAATATTGTTTAGTTAGTAAATATGAGATTTATTTTTAAAATTTTTTTTTTAATAATAACTAATTAACTTAAATAAGTAACAGTTGTTTGCCAACAGTTATATTGATGATGATTAGGATATCTATTAAACAACAACAAAAATAAAGATATAATAATAATTTAATTAAGTTATATATTAATTAAATTTTTTTTATTGTTGAGATTATAGTTATAAATAAAAATATTTTTCTAAAAAATATTTTGATGAGAAAAATAATCTAAATTTTATTAGATTTTGTTTTCTCAGAAATATTTTTATTATAAATATTATTACTTATTATTATTATTACACATCTAATAATAATTGCTAATAATGTTTTTATTAACTTTACTATCAATATATATATAATTGAAATTGTTTTTTAATTAAAAATTAATTAGCATTCAGCTATCTTATTATTTTTTAGCCAGCACAGTTATTTCAATAGGACTGTCCTAATATTATAAAGTAGTCTATTTTCTATGGCTTTAAGTAAATTTATTATTATTAGTATTTTAATCACTGACACAACAACAACAACAACAACAAAACATATACAGTATTATCATATCTAATATACAATCCATTATAATATAATATATATATCCCCCAGTATTTAGTCGACACATAATAATATATATTATATATATATAAGATATATAAAAGAGTTGATTGATTGATAATAACATTATCTTATAAATTAGACTCAACATTACTATTTATAGCAACTATTTTATATATACAGTATATACAGTAATTAACGTAAATATATTGCATTTTCAATTAAATTAAAATAGTTGTTATATTAAAAAAATATAGATTCAAAGACAAAAAAATTAATTTAAGATAAAATTAATATTAGAGTTAAATGTAAAATTAAAATCTAATTAAATTTTTATAATCTATTTTATATAATAATAATAATATTATTATTATTATTATTAAACTAAACTGCTACTAATTAAAACTACTAGTTAAGTAATTAGCTAATTAAAAATTATATATATATAAAATTTATATATAAACTTTATATATTAATAAATATTATGTTAATAAAACTTAATAATAATATTTTTATATATTTTTTGTAATTTTTTTAAACAATTAGGTGAATATAGTTGTCTGAAAGTTGATCTACAATTCAAACGCGAGTTCAGCTACTATCTGATCCAGATATACATACCCTGCTGTATGCTTGTCATAGTTTCGTGGGTATCATTCTGGTTGGACCCGAATGCCATACCAGCCCGGGTATCGCTGGGTGTAACCACACTGTTGACAATGGCTACCCAAATATCGGGTATCAATTCATCGTTGCCGCCCGTGTCCTATACAAAAGCCATCGATGTCTGGACGGGTGTGTGTCTGACATTTGTTTTCGGTGCACTGTTGGAATTTGCACTGGTCAACTATGCCTCCCGAAGCGATGCCCACCGGGCTGCCCTCAAGCAACAACAGGCAGCGTTTGCTGCCCAACGTAAATGGGAAGTGGAACAGTCGCATATGGATGCGGATCATATTGAGGACGGATCGGCCGGTTTTGCCATGGTATGTATGTATGGGTGGGTTGGGTTGGGTTGGGTTGATTGGGTGTTAGTGTTTGGGTGTGTGTGTGTGGGTTGAGGTGAAACAGTATTTTTTTAATTAGTATTATTTAGTTATTATTTTTGTTTTACTAAACTATTATTTAAATTAATAACATTTAAATTAATAATAATAATTTAATTAAGTTATATATTAATTATTTTTATTATTGAGATTACAGTTTTAAAAAAATTTTTATACAAATATTTATATATTTATATATATTAATATTTTTTATATATATATATTTATATATATTAATATTTTTTATATATATATTTATATGAAAATTTTTATTATATATTTTTTGGATGATTTAATTAACATACATATTTATTACTGTAATATTTAATTATTTTATTTTTTTAATATTTTCAATTTTATTTTTTTAGAGTATTCACTAAATAATTTGTTAAAAAATACATAATCTATGTTTTAATTAATTTTATGTTAAACCAAATGTTATTTTTTTCAATTGTCTTCAATTATTTTGAGAGAATTTTTAAAAAAATAATATTTATTATACAACACAACAACAACAACAAAAAGTTTTTTACACTTTTATCTATAATAAATATACTGTATATAAGTTTTGACAAAATAATTGTTAGTTTATTATAATACAGAAAAAATATTGTATTAATAATAGTATTGTACTTTAGTGTAATAGACCAGCATATCTAAAGGGGAAAGGTATGTACTGTATGTATGTATGTATGAAAATATATATATATAATGATAAATGAGACATGAATTTGTCACTGAAAATATAATAATAATAATAATAATAGACATATATTTCTAGTAAAGCATATATACCGGTATATATATAAAGATAATAATAATAATCAAATAAATAAAAAAATATATATATATAGTTTTTTCTTATTGAATCGTTTTAATACAAACAGTCTAACTATAATATATTATATTAGCACAAATAGTTAGTCAACTTATATTTTTATATACAGTACTTATCATTTGTATGTTTGCTGAAAAATAAAAGTTATTTGTTTAATATATATATACTGTATATAGTGAACCATATTATATATATATAAAAAACTATAGTATAATATAGTATAGTCTATATTATTAATAGAAGTAGTAGTTATTTTCTTACACATACACACACACACACACTCACACATATATGGCTCCGGGATATTGTCAATATCGACTCAACCGTACAAATATATCACTAATACTAACTATATAAATGAAGTTCTCTCTCTCTCTCTCTCTCTCTCTTTCTCTTTCTCTCTCTTTCTCTCTCTCTCTCTTTCTCTCTCTCTCTCTCTCTCTCTTTCTCTCTCTCTCTTCTCTCTCTCTCTCTCTCTTTCTCTCTCTCTCTCTCTGTCTATCCATGAAAAGTATATAATATACTTACTATTATGATATATATACATATAAATAAGTTACTATACATATACAGTATAAATACAAGTTTCCAATTGATTAACATAATAACTAACTAAACCGGAATATTCTGTTAAAATATATATATATATTAAGTTAGATTTTTTTTAATACTTTACATACATATAATAAAAATATTGACAAAAATTGTTATTATTTTTTTGTTATGTTAACTGAAATTTGCATTTTATTAATTTATATATATATTTTTTTATTGTATATACAATTATTTATATGAATAAAATCTACTAAATATTATACTAAACAGTAGTTGAACACACATTTATTTATTAAAAATTAATACTTATTATTATTATTAAAAATAAAATGAAATTACAATTTAATTAAAAAAACTATTTGTTTTTTAATTTAAATTTTTAAAAAATGACATTTTTAATAACTACCTCAATATTTATATTAATAGCTATATTTGAATTAAATTTTTTCTCTCAAAAAAAATTTATTTATTTATTTTATTAAATTTTTATGTGTTGTTATTTATATAGCGACCACTGGTCCGACACCAAGGTATGGGCGGTCCCGTTGGTGTCGGTGGCGGCGGCGGCGGTGGTGGTGGTGGTGGTGTCAATGTCAACATAGGTGTCGATCCACACCTGGATAAGCTGAGGGCTTGCGAAATACATGTGTCGTTGCCAAAGAAAAACTGGTGCAAACGGTGGCTGTCCAAATTTCCTACCCGATCCAAACGTATTGATGTTATTTCACGTATATTTTTCCCATTGATGTTTGCACTGTTCAATCTGGTCTATTGGACGACCTATCTCTTCCGTGAAGATATGCAGGAATTTTAAGGGGACTAGTAGTTTAAAAAAACAACAAACAAAAACAAATGTATTACTAATTAATATCCTCAACAAAAAAAAAACATAACATCTCTCTCTCTATCGCACATACATACCAGGGTAGTGGTGAAAAAATAGAGAGAGGGGGGGAGGGGACAACCATTTTTATTATTGTAACCAACACCCAATCCCCCCTCCCTCTATCCCTATCTCCCCTCTCAGTTATAACTATATAAAGAGAGAGAGAGAGAGAGAGAGAGAGAGATGACAATAATAATAATAATATAGCACCACTGGCTATCTATCTATCTATACATCATATATATATAATATAAGATACTCACTATATTATCATTAATATCATTATTATTATTATTATTATGTAATGATATGATGCTTGAGCTCAATAACAAACAAACCTAAATCATATTAATAATATATATATGATATTAATTAATTAATTAATTATAAAATATTTGGTAGATATGTGAGACAAATGTAAATCAGATTTTTTTTTAATTAATAATTGTTATCATTATTACAATTAGTATTAAAGTGTCTAATAATTGTTTGTTATTTTTGTTATTAATATTTTACTATTAATTTATACTGTATAATGAAAATAGGTATTTGAAAAAAATAATAATTATAATTGATAATTATAATAATAGTAAGCATCATAAAAAAAATAATATTAACTCAATTGTTTTATATTAATATAAGGAAAAACAGATAATTAAAAAAAATTTTGTAAAATATTATTGAAAAAATAGCAACAAAATAATTGCTTAAATAATATTTATTTCTATTATTATTAAAATCAATATATTATTTATAAAATACTACATAATGTACTGTATATTATAATTGCTATCAATTAAGAGTTATTAATACATTACTGTTTCAAAAAAAATTTATAACTTTTTTTTTGCTAATTAATGAACAAACAAATACATTACTATTACAATACAGTATACATGTATATAAATTAATTATATAATATATATATAAATTATATAATGTGTATAATGAAATTGTTTGGCATTATTATTTGATTTTATACATGTTCGTAATAATAATAATAATAATAATAATAATGATGATAAAAAAATTAAAATTTTTTGAATATATGTGTGTCTATTAAAAATAGCGTCCAATAATTGAAATTTAAAAAAAATGTTTAGTAATTAACTAATTGTACTAATTTTTTATATATATTATACTATAATATAGTACTGTATTAGTACTAATAATAATAATAATAACGTTATATTATTGTTTGTTTTTTTAAATTATATATTTGTTAGTTATAACTATTATTGTTTAATTAGTAATATTTATATATATATATATATATATATATATATATATATATATCATTAATTTATATGTATTAAACAAGTGTTGTTAAAAAAAAGTATAATACAATAACTGTATGAAAGGATTATTATTATTATATCTATTTAATGTAAAAGTCATGTGAAAGAGAGAGAGAGAGAGAGAGAGAGAGAGAGAGAGAGAGAGATATTGACATAAATTTAAATATTGACAATAAAAACAAACATTTTGTAATTTATATATACATTATTATTATTACTATAATTATTAAGTTTATGTTATTTTGTAAACAACATCATAAAAATACATTTAAAAAAATACACAAATATTTTTTTCCATTCAATAGTAAATAATTAACATTTACATAGATTTTAAAAATAATTTTTTTTTATATATAAAAACATTAATACAATTACATCAACAAAACTATATGATAAATATTATTTATAAAAAAAACAATTTTCATAAATAACATCTATAATGAAATAATACAATAATAATAATAACAAAACTAATAATACAATAAAATTAAATAAAAACTCTAAAGAATATTCTTTAAAAAATTTAATTAAAAAAATGGTTAAAAAAAATAAATATTTATAAAACACAACTAATAATTTGTAATAATAATAATTAAAATCATTATTATTGATTGATTGTTGTTATATAAATAAAATACTAATTAATTAAATATAAAATAATCATTTTTTTAATTGTATATTTCAATTGATGATAATTTTTTTTGTTATTATTTTGTTATATAATATAAGCCAAATAACACACACATACATACATACATACAAACAATATGATGTTATTTAATAATAATAATAATAATAATAAACAATTTTTTGTAGTATTTGTAGTAATATTTTGTTTACAAAGAAAAATAATAATAATTAAAACAACAAAAAAATTTCAGGAGAAATATTGTAAAATAAAAATACATGAAAAATGTAAAAAATGATAACAAAACAAAAAATAAAATAATTATTAAAAATAATTATTTAACCCAAAAAAAAATATTATTAATTATTAAATAAAATGATTTAGACATAAATTTTGTATTTTAATTTTAAATTTTAATTAATTGCCTTTTATTATTTATTAAATATTTATTATTATATATTTTTTGGTTACATATAAAAATAAAAATTTTGTTATTAATCAATAATTTTTTTTTTTTAAAAATAACTATTGGATAATAATATATATATATAACTAAAAATATATAACTGATAAATGTTTTTATAGATTATTATTATTATTAGTTTAATATCATTAAAAATATATGTTTCATATATTAATAAGTTATTTTTTTCAAGTATTTATTTTCAATAATAATAATAATAATAATAAAATAATATATATATATATATATAACTACAAATATATAACTGATAAATATTTTTATAGATTTATTATTATTTTTTTAATATCATTAAAAATTTTCAATAATAATACTAATGATATTAATAATGATAATAATATTAATATTATTAATAATAATTAGACTAATGATAGTTAAATGATATTATAATTAATTTTTATATAATAATAACTAAAAGTTTTTATTATACTATTAAACTAAATACAGTATAAACTGTGTGCTGACACCTATTATACATAAGTATTGATTTTATTTATTATATGTATTGAATTGAATTGAAAAACTTTAATAATAATAATAAAAACAACATTTCTAGCGCTAAAAATCACATGTGTTTTGATTATTATTAACTTTTTATTTATTATTTACTGTTTTTTTCTATTGAATATAAAATAAACTGTATTTTTATAGTTGTATTGCATTAGTGTTTAATAACAGATAATATCATAAATAGATTACTAATAATAAACAGTATATTCAATGCATTGATAATTACTATAGAATTGGTATTAATATTATTATTATTATTGTTATTATTATTATAAGTATTGAAACAATTTTTTTTTTTAGTAAACAAACCAAACATCACTTGAATTGGTTCACAATTTTTTAGTTTAGTTTCATCGACGACAACAACAACAACAACAAGTGGTTAGTAGTAATCAAATCAAATCAATTGATTTGAACATATTTACCGATCTGACCGACCGTCCGTCCGTCCGTCCGCCGGCTACAGTCATGAATGGCCACCAATTGGACTCATCGGAGTCAACCGTTACCGCCGATGATGATCCCAACGGCGGCGATGACAACAACAACAACAACATGAATAGTATCAACAATTTGTGGCTATTTTTGTTGAAAAACAAGTCGATAACTACCCAGACATTTGGCCAGTTGGCCGCTTACGGCTACGACAATAACGATACAATCATATCGTTGGATATCGTCGAGGATCTGCCGATGTTGACCAATATTACTATTGGCCAACGATCGCTACTCAAGCGGCTAATCAACGACTATCGACGACAATCATCAACGTTGTCGGCTGTGGCCGCTGCGGGTCTCAGCTGTCCGGCCACCGCCGCTGCAACCGCCGTTACCGATGAACACAATCTGCATATCTATACTATGATTAAAGACATGCACACAATGATGAAGAAGATTATCAGCGATGGTGTGGACAATGACGGCCACAACAATCGGTCTGCGGCGGCAGTGGACACAACCACTACCAGATCAGTAACCTCTGTAAGCAGCCGTAGATCGTCGTCGGCGTCGGCTTCGAAAACAACTAAAACTGCTGCCGCCGTCAACAACCCGGTATCGGTGGCTATCGATTGCCAACTAATCGATGTCCGACAACAGCAACAGTTGCTGATGAAAGTCCAGCACGAGTTGGCTGATGTCAAACGCAAATACCTTATTAAGACGGACACCTGCGAAGCGATGACCGTAATCAACAAAGAACTGGAAAAACTTGTCGTCGAACTAAAGACCGAAAACGATGCCATTGTTTCTGCTTATAATGAAAGTAGTGGTCATTGTTTTGCTGACATAAGCCGATTGCATAAATATTTAACTAACATATCGATGACTATTCACCGTAAGACTAAAGATGATGATAACAATGACGACGACAAACACGACAACAACAGCAATGATGATAAGGGAGTTGTTGTCGGTATTGCTGACAATCAATGTGTTATTGCAGATGAGTTGACCAAACAATCATTGACTACGACTACCAACTCTATGGACATGGATTACGAATCGGCGGCCGCGCCGGCGGTGACTGCTGATGATTGTTCACCGATTTCTAGGACGACGCCAACTACGCCCACCGATTATTCGGAGTCTCCTATTATTATTGGACAACAACAACAGTCAGACAAGCTATCGGTTAAGACAGAGTCGTCCATTAAAGCCATGAAAAAGTGCGCCCAATTTAGTTGTTTAGTTAGTCTGGAGGAATTGGATCCAGTTCTAGCAGCTGCCGGTTCACAATTTATTGACGTCAATCCACAGCCGCCAATTGAAATTGATTACAACAAAAACAACATAATTACCGATTATGTCGGCGGCAATGATGATGAGTCGACAACAAACAGTCAGTCGTCTATTATCGATACTACTAATAGTAAAGACATGTTTGAGACGGTTGTAGTCGAAAGAGTCGACGATGACAACGACGACGACACCGATACTACCGTCAATGTTGAAGACACAGGCGATTCGATGGCACAAAAGTCGACGACAACAACAACAACTTCACCGCAGAAGAAGCAGCTAAAAAGACCAAAGAGATCGTCGACTAGACTGAGCAGCAAAAGACAGCGACTGCAGACATCATCAGATAGTATGGAAACATTGTCGTCGTCGTCGTCATCGACAACAACAACTCGTGTAGTAATGGTATCGGTCGATAACAAAACCAACTATAACCTCAATAATGCCAATACTAGTAGTAGTAGTAGTAGTACTGCTGAACATCAGAGTACTACTACTACTACTACCGCTACCAATGGTGTAACTCTGTCGACAATTACCGGCACTAAAATCAATATCGACATTAGCGACGAATCGACTAACGGTAGTACCACTGCCGATGACGACACCCTAGCTATTGGTCCATTGCGTCAGTACGTCAACAATGCCGATAATTATAGCGAAATTTCTACATCAAACGGCTACTACTATCTGCCTACCAGTGCCTCCACTACCACCGCCGCCGCAGCCGCCTTCAGTTCAATCAATTGTACGGCTATTAAGACACTGCCAATTGTTGCCGATAACATGAGTTCATCATCAACTATACCGAATACTCCAGTGGTCACCGCCACCGACACCACCAATGATCTGGTAGTACGACATTTGACACCTGGAACACCTGATGGTCGACTGGGCTACCGGTGCGGACTACCTGACTGTGATTTTACTACGCTATACGAAATGAAATTCAACGATCACCTTAAACGTCATGTCAACTATCATATGGGACAGGAATTGCCGCCACATTTCTATCGTATGTGGAAGTATTTGCAGGCAAAACGACTGTCCAAAGATGTAGAAGCAATCAATAGTAGTACCGGTAGTTCATCCAAGTCTACCAAAGCTTAGGGAGAGAGAGAGAGAGAGAGAGTCAGTCAGTCATAAATCAATCAAATCTATCTAACTGTCCATCAATTATATACTGTATATGATATCCCGTCCATACATATGTTATATATATATATATATTTTTACTTTAATACTATTATATTTTTAATTATTATTATTATTATAATGAAAAATAGACTCAAAATCTTGTCAAAGTTTTCAATTACCACAAAAAATCATTGCCATTCTTGTGCCTAACTAAGCTATACTGTTATATAAATTATATAATAATTTATCAGATATAGAAAAAACTACCTGTGCTTTGATTACAGTTAGGTATATATATATAGAAATCAGTATTTTTTATTAAGAAAAAAATTACTGATTGAAAACAATAATATGATTTATATTATTATTTATTAATTTTTTTTGGTTCAAATTATAGTTAATAACTATATTATTATCCCATAAACAGTGATCTCGTTAGATATATTGAATGTTAAAAATATTTTTGTTTGATTTTTTTATACTATAATTTTAACATTATATTTATATTGTTTTTTTTAAATACTGCATTTATTTTTCAAAATAAAAAAAATAGGTAATTATATAGTGATAGATATGATTATGATATTAATAATAATAATAGTGAATATAATAACTTAATTTATTATCATTTTTTAAAAATCAATTAAGATATATATACCGTAATATTAGTGCAAATGTTTTGATACAAATATTTTTTGTTTGTTTGTTTGTTTGTTTTTTTAATTTAATTATACAAACAAATTAAATAGTTATTAATTGATTATCATTTTTGTTTTGTTTTCTATTTTTTTTAAAAATATATATATATTTATCATTTATCAACAAAATAATAATAATAATAATTACATAATTTTCTAATCAAAATAATTCTAGTATTTAAGAAAAATAATACTAAATGATTGCTACAATTTTTTTTTAAAAAATATTATTTAATTTTTTTTTTTGAAAGTAATTAATTACACAATTAATTATGTGATATATTTATATTGTAATTGCAATTTATATTATTATAAAACATTTACATATAACATATTGTTTTGCATGTTATATATATATATATTTTTAAAAAATCAAATATGTAATATTGTATTGTAATAATTACTACAATTATTTGATTAATATTTGCATATTTTTTGATTGTATTTTTATTTGACTAAATGTTATATACTTACTATATATAATAATTTTAAATAAAACATTAATTTCATATTTATATTAATAATATTAATAATAAACACATTGATTACAAAAAAACTAGATTTATTTATAAGTCATTGAATTACTTACCGTATATTAAATCGTAACAATAATTAATAACTACTATACAGTAATTATCAATTTTATCAATATTTACAGTTAAACTTAATTATTATTATTTTATTTTAAAATAATATATTTAATGGATTAAAAAATTATAATTTGTTAATAATTTTTGAAAATATAATTAATACCATGTTTATTTATTTTTAAAAAAATAATTTTATCATATATTTTATCATTCAAATAATATTAGTTTTAAGCATAATAGGTGTCGCATTGGATAAACAAATAATAAATTTAAATATAATTTTTTACCAAGTTTAATTTTTTAGTAAAATTTAAAAAATTATTTATTTTTTTAAACAAAGATAATCTCTAATACTAAAATAATTTTGATTTTAATTTAGATAATTAACAGTATATTAATAGCTAACAAAAATTATATGTTAATTATATTATTTTCATTTGTTTTAATTGTTTATATATTTTTTTAACGAAAAAAAAAATTTGTTTAGGATTTGTAATCATTTAAAATGCTTTTAACTAAATTTGTTTACAACAACAATACTTAAGCAACAAATAAATTATAAAATAATAATAGATTTAATTTTTTTCGATAATTACAATTAAATTTATCTATATTTTATGTTTTATATATTTTTTTAATCATTATTTTATTAAATCAATATATAGATATTAAATAAATAGATTACAAATTTTAAATAAATAATAAAAAAACATTTATATAATTAAAAAAAATTGAAATAATTTTATAACAGTTTATCTATTTTTTATTAACTTATATAGAAATTAATTTATTTATGATTAATAATATTTTTTAAAAATAATATTTTATAAGTTTTTTTTAAGCAAATATTTAAACTTTATTAATATTTTATAGTTTAATATACATTCACAATATAAATCAAGATATAATATAATAATAATAATATATTTATAACATCAATAATAATAATAATAATAAATACATTATTTTCATTTAATAGAGTATTATATTTTTTATTATTTAATAATAATATTAAATACATTTTATTTTACAAGTATATAAAAAAATGTTTTTCAAATTTATTAAATATATCATATATATATATATATTGATCACAATATTATTTGTTTTTAATTTGATTTATTTGATTTGATTTGATTGATAAACTATAGTATATATATATATATATAAATATATGTTTAAATAAATCATAATTACATCATAATAATTATTATTATAAATCTATATATATATATTGGATTTTATATATTTATGTAATTAAATATATATTATTTTCTATAGGAATAAGTTTTTAAGTGAAAATAAATAAATAAATAAATTTTTTAATAACTAAAAAAACAAATTATTTTAAATAAAAAAACTAAAAAACAATATTATGTCTCATCTGTATTCAAATAATCGTTTGCTGATTGACTACCAGTACTACTAGTAGTAGCTGTCAATTGACTTTTCAATCGATCTACCAGTGCCTCCCAGAGTCCATATCTGGCCATTAGTTTGTCCCCACGTATATTACGGCGAACCGGTCCCCGAACACACGGGTCTACCTGCGGGTTACGTTTGCCAAAACGTGGCGGCTTTCGCATACCATTGTCGGGACAGGGATCAAACAGATTGCCGCCATCAGCACCAACCAATGTCAACTGGACTACCAGTGCTCCAATCAGCACTAGGATGTAGACCAATGTTAACTTATTTACACTGATATCCATTATATTTATTATAATATTATTATAATATTAGTATTATTTAAATGGAAAATTGTAATTATTATTCAACAATAATTTTTAAAAAAAACAAATTATTTAACAAATAATTGTTTAATTTTAATACAATTTTTTTTGGTTTGGTTTGTTTGTTTGATAGTAAACAAACAGATTTTTTTTTATTATTATTAATAACTTTATTGTTGTGAAAAACTGTTAATTATTTATTATTTTTAAATACACACAATAAAAGGCAATTATATTATTAGTAAAAATATTTATTCAGAATATTCTTTATTTATTATATAATTTTATTTTTTAAAAATTTCTTAACTTTTGTTTGTTTGTTAGGTTACGTAAAATAACTAAACTGTCCACTGACTGGTGTAGAGTCAAGTATTTATAGGTTTATCCACACAAAAAAATCTAAGAGAAAGAGAGAGAGAGAGAGAGAGAGAGAGAGAGAGAGAGAGAGAGAGAGAGAGAGAGTAAGGTTAGAAAGTTTGCGCCTAACTTTTTTTTAACATGTTTTTACAGCTCAGGTATTTAATATAATTATTATAAGTTTACTGTATATACAGTATATATATTAATATATATATATCATATAAGTTAAGTTAGTTTTGTATATACAGTATATGTTTTTCATATACAATATATGTGTATATATTTGTGTCATACAAAGCGTGGGTTACAAGTGGTCGGTAACCACAATCACTCTCTCTCTCTCTCTCTCTCTCTCTCTCTTTATTTCACTCACTCACTCACTCACTCATATATATTCACATATAGTTATTTACATTGAATTTACATACAGAATATTCTGCGCCGATGTTGTAATAGTCAATTGAATATACTGTATATATATATATATTGATATATCATACAATAATTATCAATAAAATAAAAATATAGACAAATAAATAAAACTAAAAAAAACAGTAAAAGTGTAAAAACAAGTTTTTGCCATTTATTTATTTATATTCAATATTTAACATTTATTTTTTTTGCTATCATTTATTTTCTATAAAATACAACAAAAATATAATCCCAAATATTATCATTATTAATAATATTAATATTATTATTAGTTATCCATTTAATTTTTTGTATGCAAATTAATATTTATTACGATAGATATAATATAATTTATATATATTAATATTCTGTCTATTAATTTATTATAAATAATATTTCTATTAATGTACACAAAAATCACTGAACTTTTATATATAAATATAGATTTACATGTATTTCTATAATTAGTGGCAATGAACTAATAATTTTTATTTATTTATATACATAATAATCAGTTAAATAAATTTTTGGTTATACAATATATACTGTATATAATTTATATTATAAATAAATATTTAGTATAAATTGCTAATTAGTTATTCAAATAATAATTTTTAAATATTAGTTTATAAAATCAAAGTTCAAAACTAGTAGTATTTTTTTAATGATAAAAAAAATATTGAATAGTAATACAGTAGTAGTAATAGTAATAAATAATTTTTATTTCAATAATAAATATTTGCATTTATTATATAAATCGTGTATAAAATATGTGTTAATTATATTTATAAATATTGTTTTTGCATTTTTATTCATCTTATTTTATCGATATTTGTACTATATTTTAGTACATAATCATTGATTTTACTTAATATATATATTGTATTTATTTATTTATATTTAAAAATTAATACTATAATTATTAGGTAATATTGCCCAATGATTAGTAATTAATAATACAATAATCAGTAAATTAAATAAAAAATATTGAAATATTATTATTTATAACTAAAATTCATGAAATTTAACAATAAATAGGTTTCATAATCTAAAAATCTAATATATATATTGTTTATTAATTTATTCATTAAAAATATAGTATATTTATTAGTAACAATAGGTAGCATTAGTACTAAAATAGTTGATAATAAAACTAATAAAAATATTATAATATACTAAATAAAATAAAATTTATAAATTATTATATTGAATATTATATTATATATTATTTATTATAATAATGTTAATATTGAATATTTAAAAAAAAATATTTTTATTTTAAATAATATGTTTTAGGACAATATATTTAAAACTAAAATTATAAATATGATAATACTGTACTAATAATAATAATAATAATAAAATAAATCAATATTATTATTATATTGTAGAATAGATAAAGTTAAAAAAAATTATGTTAAAAACACATCTAGATATTTGCATTAAAATTTATTAAATTTTGCATAAAAAGTAATTTTTTTATTTATAAGATCAAATTATTTTTATTTAGTTAAAAAAGTTAAGATAAATATATAATTGATAGCTTTATAATAAATTTAAAGTGATTTTTTAATTTATATATATATAATATGATTATTTTTATATTATACTGTATATATATATTATTTTTAATATTTTATTATAACTATTTTTTTCATAATATTTTTTTTAATATTTATAATCTAATTATATATTATTTTATTTTTAAAAATTATGACTCCATTTTTTATATTTAATTAAATTTATTCACAAAAATATAGTAAATAAATAAAATATAAAGTTTATTATTTATTTATTTTTTTTGTTATTATGACTGATATACATGTACAGTATATACTAGTATATATAATAATATGATATTAAACAAATAATAGCAACTAAACTAAATAATAAATTAATAATTTCAATGTCAACTATTATTTTATTTAGTTTTTGTATATAATTGATTAAACATAATAATAATAATAATAAATTGTTATATTTGTTTAGTTAGTCTACAATTGATAAGAAAACTATTTTTATATATATATAWATTGCTTAACTTTCACATTCAAGTTAGTTGATTAAAAAATTGATTATCTGTTATTAATTAATTAAATTGGATTTTTTATTAATTAAACGATAYTAATTAATCAACAACAACAACAACAAAAGTTTATTAACTAATCTGATGATAATAATAATAATAAATAATTTATTTATTTACTAAGTTTTCAACAACAAAAATATATATTTTTTTTTATATAGCATTTAAACTTATCTCTAACTTTCTTTCACAATAATTGAATCAATAATAATAATAATAATAAATTAAATATATGTAACTATTGTATTATTTATCAATATTTATATTTAATATACAAAATATTATACATTTTATTTACTTAAATAAAACTTTGATGTATAAAAAAAATATATTTATAAAATTATTTTACAAAAAAAATAATAATATTAATAATCAATAGATTTGGATCCACACTTAAACCAATTTTTTAATCGTTTACGTCTATTATTATTATTATTATTATCGACAATAATATCGCAACTTTTATAATGTTTAGTAAATTTTGATTTGATTTTCAATGGTTGCATTAATCCAGATATATTGGGCACCGGTATGTTGGAGTTGGCGCTGTTACTGGTGTTGTTGTTGTCGGGATAGGATAGCAGCAAATTGCGACATATTTTGGTCAATAGTTTAGCAAATGCCGGGGATTTGTCACAATTGGCCGATATTTCCGCAAAAATACCGATAATATTCATATTGTTTTCGACAAACTCGACCGCCTCGCCAGTGGTCACTTGTCGGTCGGCGGTGGCGGCGCCAGTTCCGGCCTTACCGTCCCGTTTGTTACCCAATAGTACAACCAGTGGCCAGCAATCGTTTTGGCCATCAGATTCGGAACCCGATGCTGTCAACAGATCAAGATATCCATACAAATTGTCAAACGACTGTCGAGATTGTATGTCATAGACTAGTATAACGGTGTGYGCGCTCCGGGAGTACATTGGCATCAGGTCGGCCAGCGATTGTCGATGACTATCCTATGAAATTAATTGGTTAATAGTTTTTTTAGTTAATATCTATATACTCTCTCTCTCTCTCTCTCTCTCTCTCTCTCTCTCACACACACACACACACACACACACACACATACCTGTCCACTGGTATCCCAAAACTCCAGTTCCACTGAACACTTGTTGACCTTAGCGATGGCCGATTGAAACTGTGTTCCGCCGCCATTTGCGCCGCCGCCTCGCAAATCTTGGCCACTCTTGCCGGTGCTCAACGCTGCAGCTGCCGAGTGACCGCCGCACAGTCGGTCAACAATTGCCGATTTGCCGACACCCTGATCGCCCAATACGATTGCCTTGTATTTCACCCGAACCGATGAGTTGTTGGCTGAGGCCAACAATATCGGTGTCAGTACATAGCGGCGAATCATACCGTCGAATGTCCGGCAAAACAGTTGGTCGACTCCCAGTCCGAACTTTGCCGAACATTCGACAAACTCTGTGTGCTGTCTATTGGCCAACTGTTGGCCATCCTGGCGGCCAACATGTTCGCCATCGAACCGATCCCGTAAATCGGTTTTGTTGCCAACAATTATTATGTACTTCAATATCGACGACTGTTCTCTAATGGTGTTTATCCAGTAGTTTGTCCTCTCGTAGGTCATCCGTTTGGTTACATCGTATACCTGTGCCGTACGTATATATATATATACCAGTGATTTGAGTTAATTAATGAAATTTTAATTTATTTATTAATTTTTTAGTGTTATTAAAGTCTATATCATATCTAATGTATAATTAGTTATACATTTTTAAAAAAATATATATTTTATTAGAATTAAATAGTTTTTGAATTAAAATATTTTTTTGAAAAAATTAATAAATATTTAAAAACAAGTAATTTATTAATTAAATATCATATAAGTTATATGATTGTAATTAAATAGATATATATTATTAGCAAAAAATATTATATTATTATTATTATTGATTTTTAGTTACATTTATCTTACAGTATATCTTATTTAGTATATATATATGTAAATTTATATTTTTGTAAATAAAAATTATTTTAATGCAAATATATATGTATGTATTTTAATTCCGGCTATTGAATTATAAACAAAATATACAGTATATATATATATATATATATATATATATATATATACTAACAAAAAAATATATTGCCAACAATTTTATACTTTATATCATATATTATATATAAGTTATATGTATATTAGCTTTTAAAGCAAAATACAAAATTATTTAGAAATTTATTTTCAATATATATATATATATATAAAGTAAATATATAATATGTTATTTTTTTTATTATTGTTGCTTATTTATTGCTTGTTTCATCCGGTACTTTATATTTTTTACAAAAATATATATCATTTTAACTTTTGATATATATATAAGTTTTACTTTAAATAATAATACTAATAATTTATCTAGCTAATTTTTATATTTATATGCATTACTTTTAACTTGTATTAAAATGTAGAAAACATGTTTTCTACATTTTATTTGATTACTATTATATATACTGTATATGTTGTATCAGTATATACTTTATATAAGTGAAAAGCATAAAAATTATTTTTTATTATTGATATAAATTTAGATATACTCTATATATATGTTGTATAATATCATAGACAACACACACACAATATATTAGTCTAAATATATTGAGATATAAAATATTATTATTATTATTAACAAAAAATTTGATATTTGCAATAATTTTTTTATTTTCTCATATTTACTTTAACTTATAACCTATAATTTTACAATACTGTATAATACAGTATCTAATATTGAAATCAAATCAATTGAAAGTTGTATATTAATAATATTGTTAAATGATGAAACAAAAATAAAATATACAGTATTATAATACTGTATAATAATAACAGGCATAATGAGACAAAAATAATTTATTATTATTTTTATCTGTGTATTTACGGGTGAAGTTTAAATCTAATTTGTCTTTAACTTGAAGTTTTGTTGACTATAACTACAATATGTCTAAATGTGTCTAAATATCTAATTTTATATATATATATATATACAGTATATTCAATAAATATACTGTATTTATATTTATCACTTGTCATACAGTACTATAACAACAGTGTATACATAACTTATTTATGTATTTTATTATTATTATTATTATTATTGTATAGAAACTAAAGGTTTATTTTATCTATTGTCTCATACATATTCATATCTATTGATAATATATATATATATATAATATCATTTACATCAAACAAACAGTGAAATCAAATTTTTTTATGATGTTTTTCTCAGAAATATATATATATTTTTATATTTCTAAAGATTATATAAATATATATTTATTTATTGTCTGACTAAGTATTATCAATACTGTCTGTAAATTAATATTACATTTATTTATTTATTTTATTAATATTTTATATATATATACTGTATATATATATCGTACAGTACTTATTAATTACAGACATAGGTTATAATAGTAACTTTAATAACAATAATAATATTATCATAAATATTAATATTTTATAATTACATGTACTTTGAATATAAAATTTAATTTAATCTTATATATATTATCTTATTTATTATACTGTATATATATATCAAAGTTATTGTTAGTTATTTAATAATAATTTTACAATAAAAACTAATAAAACTAAATTATAGTTATTTATCATTTGGTTTTTAATTATCAATAATAATAACTATATTTAATTTTGACTAATATTAAAAATTATACCAACAACAAAAAAATAAACATAAAAAACATTTTCTATAAATATTTTAATACAACAACAAATAGTTGCCACCAAAAAAAAAACAACACACAAACTATTCAAACAACTATCAACTTTAACCTATCATACAAACAAACAAACAAAAAATAATAATTATATAAACATTTGAAATAAACTATAAATAGCAAACATCTCCTCTCAATCATATATTATATATATAAAAAAAATATTAATAAAACAATTGAATATAAAATAGACAATAAACACACTAAACATACATACATTTCATTGATAATTGATATTTTATATTTCAAATCAACTAAACAATCAAATAAAACAAAACAAAAATATTATCATATTTTTTGTTATAGACTTACGATAATAGCCGCCGACACGTCCGTATAGTATAGACGTGAGACCAGTCTATACTGGGGCAGAGCTGACGAGTCCCAGACGGCTATCTTCAAGTGCAGGCCATCGTAGGTATAGTCGACCGATCGGAAGGCTACGCCACGGGTGGCCGGTTGATGGTCGTTGAATTGATTGTCGCAAAACTGGCCGACCAATGATGTCTTGCCGACACCCGAATCGCCGATTAGTAGGACATTGTTTCGGGTAAAAGACATTATTATTATTATTATAAACAAAAACAACAACAAAAAAACTAAACAAAAAATAAGAGAAAATATTCTCTAATGAATAGTCAATCACTTATTATATTTACTTCAAAAATAAGTACTTCAAGAATATTCTTGTATTATATATTTATATACAGTATTATTAATATTGACAACAAAATAGCAAAAATATTTTAGTTTTTTTTATTAATAATATAGTTTTATATGAAAATTGATTGCATTTTTTTGTTGTTGTTATTATTAAGTTATTATATATTTTTTTATTGTTATCTTCAAAACATACTGTAGTAGTAGTAGTAGTAGTAGTTATCATCAATCATTTAAATTGTTTGTATATTTTATCATATAGTTTATACTGTATATTATTATATGAATTTTATATACTATATATATATATATATATATATATATATATATATTATCTATGTATATAAGTTGATTTTTTTAAAAATATTATCACACAATTCACATATGTACTTTTAAAATAAAAATAATAATAATAATAATAATTTTTGTTGTTTTGTTGAATGCATTATATGATATCAAAAATTTTTGAAAAACTATTTATAGTTTTTTTTCAAACAAAAATTATATATATAGTATATCTTTAAATTATATATATTATAATTTTAAATATAATGATTATTATTATTATATATTTATATTTATAAATGTGAATTAATGCAAATGTTTTTTTAGTCTCTATACAGTTGTATATTGAATATCAATATCAATAAACTTTAAAACATTGAAAACACAAAAGTATAAAAAATTATCACAAAATTAAAATAATTTTTTTTTGTTTTTTAAAAAAAAGTTATCACTGTTTAGTACAATCATAAAATCAATATAAAAGTAAAAGTTTTTTTTGTAATTATTTTTATTTATTATAGTTGTTTCTAATCATTAAAAATTTTTTTTGCTTAGTAGACATATTATGGTTTACTTTTGTATTATATTATTTTTATTTTTAAAAATAAACTTTTATCTAAGTGAACATATATATATCCTATTGTATACCCTGGATACAATTAGTATATATATAAAAATTTAATTAAATTGTTTTGTTGTTTTATTTATTATATAACCAACTAATTTAACATATACTGTAATATACAGTAGTATAGCAACACTATATATTCAATATAATAGTAATCATCTAAATTGAAACATTTAGCAAAAAAATAATTATTATAATGTGTAAAAATTAAAGTGTTATTTTTGATTGAATTTTTTTTAAAAAACAAATAAACTTTATAATTTTATATATTGTTTATATATACAGTATATACCAGTATATATAGTAAATAGTCTAATATAATATATATATATATATATATATATCTCATATATATATATATAACTCTAATAGCAACTAATCCATGATAATAATAAAACTATTAATGTTTTTTATTCAAACAAAATAAACAAAACATTTTATTAGATTAATTTTTTTTATTAACTGTTAGTTGTGTTATGATTATTATGATTAGGAAATAATTTCAAGTCTATATAGACTTGAAATTATTTATAATTACTAGAAACTATTGTAATAATTATTAATGACTAACAATTTGTAATAATATAAGTTTTTATAAGTTTTTATGAATCATAGTATGTATGTATACAATACTTATAATATTAAAAATAAAATAAAATTATAAGTTATAATATATTTTGTGATATTTAATGTAAATAAAAATAAATTCTTGTGTTGATATGTTTCGATAAAAATAATAATAACAATATTATTATTATTATTATTATTATTATTAATTATCTATATTTWAAAAAAAATTATTGTAAAGTAAAAATAGATTATTATTATTATTAACACTTGAAATAACATATAATACATGTACCATAAGTATATAATTTTATTTAATTAAAACTAATCGTTTTATAGGTACTTAAGTTTTATTTTTTAGTAAAAAAAAAAGTTTAATTAATTTTGATTAAAAAAATAAACAAAAATTCAATTTTTTTATACAACTAAATACTATTATAGTTATAGATAATGATAAATTTGAAAGTTTAATATTATTATGAAATATCAATAGTATATCAATAATAATAATCAGCAATAATTAATTAACTTAATTATAACAAAATAATAATATTTTATGAATTTATTTATTTATTATTTATTATCATTATATTTGTATGTTTAATTAAAAACTAAAATTAAATTAAATAGTTATAATTTTTTTTTTAATATTTTCATTATTCATATTTTAAATAATTATATAATAATAATAATAATAATAATAATAATAATAACGTAATATTAATATTAAGTTTATTTTAATAATTTTTTTTCTTCAGAATAAAATGTTTGTCACAAAAAAAAACAAACAAAAATAATTAACAATAAAAAATTCATATAATATTAAATTAGAGTCAAATTACGATATTATTTTTGTTTTGTTGAGTTATATATGAAAATGATATCAATATAAATATATTTAATTAATAAAAAAAATTATTATTATTCAATATTTGTGTAAATCAAAAAAAAATACTCAAACATATTATTATTATTATCAATAATTTCAAACAATTATTGATTAGACAATTATTTTTTATATATATATATATAATAACCAAAAAATTTAATTTAAAAAAACAAAACTAATATTACAATAATTATAATAATATATTGATAATTAGTACTAATAATAATAATAATAATATTAATAATAGTGTTTCAAATAAACTTTTAGTACAACACTAAAGATTTAGAGATACAGTAGTTTTTTTTTGTTGGTGGCTATAGTATAGACATAGAGAGTGGAAAGGTATGTATGAATCGTTGGTTGGGAACGATAGCTAAGAGAAAGAGAGATAGAAAGAGAGGTTAAGAGATAGTATGAAAACTAAATAAATTGTTGTGATTTTTGCGGCCGATCGCCGCCGCCGTCTGCCGCCGCCGACACTCATAGCGGCAACATATGTATGGGTGTATTGAAGACAAAGTCCGGCGGAACCAATTGCTCGACCATTACCCTCATCTTCAGATAGGCGCTGCCAATGTTGGCTTCGGCTAAACCGGAAACGCCGGCCAACGCAGTCAACGGTCGCTTGTGATGCGATGCTTGACTGATGAGATAAGTAGCCGCTGCGGCTACCAGTGCCGGATCGCGACCCCAATCGCTTCTGGCGGCAAACGCCCGTTTGGTTACATGATTGACAGCTTTTTCCAATGCCGGCGGTATTTCCAGATCTTTGCAAAAACCTTTGACCAGATCCGAGGCGTTCAATAGGGAACAATTGATTCGCAAAAAATCGACAATAAAAGCGCAACATTCGAGTAGAGCTGACCGATCCGTAGGGACGACTTCGTTGAGTTTACGCATCGAAAATCCAAAATAATCGGTCAGTCGGCTGGATATGAATGCGGCAGCAATTGACGGCCTGATACGGGTCTTGTAGCACATGTCCATAATCTGTGGACACGTATGAAACTGTTCGAACAGTTCGTGAGCTTTTCTATCGACGTGATCGGGTATACGCAATCGAGCCGATAGTTCGGTAATCTGCTGGTGTCCAATGGCACCGGTATTTGACGGTTGCGGTGGTGGTGGTGGYGGTGCCTGTTGTTGTTGGCGATGGTGTGGCGGCTGTTTGTAAGCGCTCGGATGCAACTGTCGACGCGAATTGTTGTCGTTGTTGTTATTGTAATTTCCCGAACCGCTGTTACCCGATAGTGGCATTCGTCGCTCGAATTTGTCGCCAAAACTTTGGCCATAGTTTTGTCTGCCAATTGGCTGATTGCCGCCGCCGCCGGCGGCAAATCCGACTTTCTTGTTGCCGCCGTATTCACTGTTAGTATTCATTGGTCGGCTCTGTTTGGCCGCCGGCGACTGAAACAATGCCGACTTTGGCGACATTTTCTTCTTGTCCGGTCTATCCTGTAGTCTGGACTCATGTCGGGCACCGTTGTCACCGCCGCCGCCGGCGACTATTCTGTCTAATTGTTCTTCCAGTGTCCGACACTTGATATCCATTTTCTTTTTATCTTCGGTAGCATTAATCAGATGCTGATAGACTCGTCTGAGTTCGTCTTCCAGTTCTTTGATTTTTTTCTCCAATTTCTGATTCTTTTCTTCGCTTAACATCAGCGACGTCTTCAGGCCGGCCGTCCGCAGCTCGTTATCGTCGCCGCTAATACCAGGCGTCGTAACAGATATACGGCCGCCGCCTCCGTCGTCGCCCTCGTTATCGCTGCCCAAGTCTACCACTTCCTGGTCTTTATCGGCACCGGCGGTGTTGTCAGCATCTCCTCCACTGCTGCCGCCGCCGCCATCGCTCTCTTCATTCACATACTCGTCTATAATGATATCCTCGATGCCGTCAGCAGCGGCTTCGGCCACAACAACAGCAGCAGCAGCACCAGTCTCTTTGTCCTCATTGACAGCTAGAGCCGAGGCCGCGGCAGCGGCAGCGGCCGCAACATCAGCACTAATGGCTGCCGTATCGGCATCGGTAAGCATATCGAGTACACTATCGTCGGCCATACAATTGTCCTCCTCGTTTTGGCCATCATCATCGCCGCCGCCGAGTAGCAGATCGTCGGCCATTTGTTCGCTATCGGCGGTGTTGTTGTTGTTGTTGTTGTTTACTGTCTTATTGTTAGTAGTCGTGGCCGCCGTCGCCGTCGTCATCGTCGGTGGCGCTGCCGTGGCATCGGCTGCTGCAGGTGTGTCCATCTTTTCCTCTTTGATGATCACTATTGGTGCGGCGGCTGTTTTGGTGGTTTTGTTGGTAACAGTTGTAGTGGCCGTTGTTTTTTGCTGGCCGTCGGCGGCAGACATTTATTGGTCACTAAAATAGATGTCAATACAAAAACAATGAGTTTTTTTTTAGTAAACACTTTACTATTGTTTAGTTATTATATGTAATAATAATAATAATAATAAATACCAGTAATTGTTACCTAAAAAACATGTCCACAAACAACGTTACGCCGGTATTGGGTGTGTGTATTAAACAGTAGTTATACCAGTAATTAAATTTAATTATTAATTATTTAATTAATTAATCAATCAATCAATCAATCAATTAAATTTAATTACTGATAATTAGTGTTTAAAACACATTAATTTATTTATTAACTATATTTAACAATAATTAATTATTAATTTATTTATTAACTATAATTAACTATAATTTAATTAGTTAATTAAATTTAAATCAAAAGCAATGTAAATATTAAATTAAATATTATTATTTTTTTTATTATTATTTAATTTATATATGTATTACGGTATTTACAACAAAATTATTTGGTTTTATTATTGATATACAGTATATATATACCGGTAATCTAGACAACAAATAATAAAAAAAAATTATTAAAAAAACTAGAAAATTACGGTAAATTTTAATACACAATTAGGCCGCGGRTGTGTGTGAAATCTCAGTGTCCACTTAATTCCCGATCCCCACCAACCAAATCAATCAGTTATCAGTTTTCGTATACTCTACACAACGAGAGGGATCGGTAGTAAACAATTTCTGGCACTGTGTCATCAGCCGCTTGAGCGCCTGTATGTACTTTCGTTGGGTTTCATCGTTCAAAACGTGGGCTATGTTTTGGGCAAAAATCTTTTCACGGCCCGTACGGGCATGAATGCCGACCATAGTAACACCGATTGGCCACGGTGCATTACCGATGGCCATACGCAAATAGGCATCGCTGGCCTTAACATAGTCACGTTCGAGCATATGTTGGACAATACGGATCAAGTGTTTCAGTATATCGTCGGCCACTTTACGACTTTTCAATTGTTTCAATAGTGGACGCAAATAGCTTTGCGTTTGCGTATAGATAGCATTCTGGATACGTCCCTGAGTGGTCAACTTTTCCGGATCGGGTCGGGCATTGAGTTTTTTGCCCCACAATTCCAACAGATATTTCATAAATATTTCAATGACATCGCAATCGCGGGCGTCATCCCGGCGGCGACCCAAATGTTGGGCCATTTGCAGTATATCTTCGATAGTGGTATTCATTTCAACTACTTTGACATCGTTGGCCGTATTGTGATGGCCAGTCTTCTGGTCGCTATCGGCGCCGCTACTCTTGACAATCTCTTCCAGATAGGAGGCGTCCACCGATTCCATCGCTTCCTAAACAGATCCAGAAAATCAGATMAAATCATTAGATTACGGATAGAGACCAACAATGACAACAAATTAAATTAAAAAAATACCTGAAAATCATTTCTGTATCCCTGATCGGTTCCGGCCTCCGGTTCCTGTACTTCAAGACGACGTAACCGTAAAAGGCTTCCGTTTCTGTTTCGCCAAACAATATAATCGGTTCGTCTCTTTCGCGCAAACGTTTGATTACATCTTTGCGGGCCATTATCCTCTGCTGCTGTTCGCCGCCCGACTGTTGGCCACCACTACTGCTTGCCTCTCCTGACACGTGGTGTCCGCCAGCGGCGGCGGCGGCATCGGAACCGCTCGCTTCTGTGGCATCGGTAGAGACCCCGTCGACGCCATCGCCGCTATCGGTGGCCGTGGCCGCGGCCTCTGCCGCCGTCGCCGCCAACTTTGTCCTGGTTTTCAATGCCTGTCTTTCATAGTATTCTTCATCGGATTTTTTCATCAGATCTTGTCGTTTGAAATATTTTCGCTTATTATCCACTAATAAGTTGTCCGCCAATTGTTTGCGTTTGCGTTCAATCTCGGCCTTAACGATGTCCATCATTACCACCACTACTACTACTACTACTAGACAGCCGTACGGGTGGTTTAAAAATCAATCAATCGGTGGTCAATCAATCAATCAATCAATTAGTCAGTCAAAGACATCGGATCTGTASTCTTGGAGTTGATATCGAAATAATGTCAACAAATAATAATCAAAAATGTTTTCAATAATAATAATAATAAACATTTAGATGATAGTAATAGACAACATTTTTGGTACTTTATTATACTATAATAGATTGTATATAGAATTACACTGTAAAATAATGTTTAAACATAGTATTCAACTGGTTCTATAAAGTAGTCATAAATAGTACAACATATCCTGCATTTTATGCGTACAGTATAAACGTTTTATGTTTATTTGACTAAAAAAAAATTAATTTAAAATTATTTGTTTTATTAGTTATATGTATTAAATAGATATATATTTTTTTAATTATTTGTAATTTAATACTAATAATAATAATTAGATATTATTTATTTTATTGATTTTGTTGTTGTTTGACTAATCTATATAATAATTTATAATATATAACTATTTCTACAGTTTTATATAACAATATTTAAATTTTATATAATTAATTATTATTGTATAAAAAAATAAATATTCCTCAAAAAAGTTTAAAATTAGTTTTAAAATAGATATATTTTATTGAAATTTTTACTAAATTTAAAAAAAAATATCAAAGCTAACTAATCTTTAAATATTTTATTAACTTTTTTTTATTAATTACAAACAAATATATTATGTGTGTGTTTGTGATTATATCACTTGATTGTCAAAATAAAATATAAATAAATTTTTATAATAAAATACTATATATGTATATATTTTTTTTAAATAATTAAAAAACAAAGTTTTTTTTATCAATTATTTAATGAAATTTATATTTAATTAAAAAAAATACATGAAATACTTTATCAATAATAATAATAATACGGTAATCAATTGTGTGCGGGTTTACGGGTAAATGTTTTTTAACAAAACGGTAATCAATTGTTAACAACTAATATTCAACAAATGGTACCGATTTTTTATTATGATAAATGGGTCTAATATTTGGTTGCTGTTGTTGTTGTCTTCTAACGGTTACAGTTCCAGTAGATCCAGTAGTATTAGGCGACTGTTTCGACGACTTTGGCGGCGATCGTTGAAACAATTTATTAGCCGCCGTTGATGCGGTTAAATGCAAACCTAATCGTTGCTTATATGATGTTAGACTTTTGGTCGGAATTGGTTTGCGATGATAATAATAAGAGCCTCCCTGTCCTCCTCCTTCACCACCACTACCACCACCGCCAACACCAACATTATTACTACTACTACTACTACTGCGAAACTTTATCGACGACTGTTTCTGTGCGGCCATAAAGTATAGTTCAGTTTTCAATCGATCGGTCAACTGATCCATTTGGTTCTTGGATTTTGTCAATTGAATTAGTTTGACATAGACTTCGCTCAGTTCGTCCTCCAAGTCCTTGGCTTTCAGTTCCAATGTCAGTGCTTTGTCTTCCGTTTCTTTTAGTCGGTAATACTCTGTTATATTAAGACATAAAAATCAAAATCAATTATTAATAGAAATTAGTAGTTAATAAAAAACAATTTTTTTTTTTGAAAAACAAACGGACAAACCGGCAGCACATATAGTAATCATTTTGTTTTCATCGAAAGATTTATTATCTGTATTTGTATTGTAATTAAAATCAATGAGATTCTGGTGGTGATGATCATCAACATCACCGGTAGTCGAGTAGTACGTATCAGTAGGACTGTCCGATCGGCGGGGAGTTATTGTCACGACCGATGTCGACGTATCACTTTTGTCATCGTCGCCATCGTTATCGCTAGTGTTGGCCGCAATTGATTGACTTGTTTGAAAGCCGCCGACGCCGCTGCCGGCGACCGCTGATGATGACAACGACGTGGACGACTGGCCGCGCAATAATAGTTTTACCGGTTCGGTAAAATCGTCCCGAAATTTTTTAAGCAAATCATTTAGCGCCCATCGGCCGTTAATACCCTCCCGTTTAAGTATCTGTTTGCGGATCAATACCAACTCGTACTTCAGTATAATAAATGCTGCAAATAATAATAATAATAATAATTAGTATTATAAAAAAAATTGTTTAATAAACTAATAAAACTATTTTTTTTTCTCTCTCTYTCTCTCTAAAATAATTTCGGTAATTACGGTAGAGAAGCGCACCACTCGAGGATTATTTGAGATAATTACCGGTATTTACAGTATTGTATAGACATATTGTGGTAATATTTCGGGAAAATCGGTGGCAATAGTTAGACAAACCTATTAGTGGGCTAACAATTTTTGGTACCAATTTTTTGCTTAAATAATATTATTTTATTTAAATATTAGAGTAAAGTATACAATATATATATATATATAAATTTATATATTAAATGTATAGCATAATCATTACAATTAGTTTATATATATATATACTGTATATGTTGTATTGTGTTATTACATAATACAGTATACTGTAAATCATAATACAGTTTTAAATATATTTAAATTGTTTGAGAGATATAAAAATGATTTTTGTTTGTTTTGTATTGAATACCAAAAAAAAATGTTTGTATTATCGCAATATGTATGAGAGATTAGGGTATAATTTAAAAACAATTTTTTTATACAAAAAAAATCGCTAAATATTTTCGTAGCCCACGATAACAACAATAAAAAAAGTGTATCAAATTATATGTGTGGAAAAAAGTGTCACTAAATAATCAGTCAACAAAAAAATTACATGAAATGATTATCAATCAATCAATTGTCAAAAAATTAAAAATCAATTTGTAGTTATAGTATATATATATATTTATAAATATATAATTAATATATATATATATAAATGAATATCAAGTGTTTATTATTTTGATTTAAACACTACTTATGTGTGATTACTACTTTTACGGATTAGTTGTCCTAAGATTGCCGCCAAACTGGAATCGGGAGTCAAAACTACTGCCACTATTGTCCCGATGTTGTTGTTGTGGTTGATTATCGCGACGAAATATACGCTCGTATGGATCAGCTTTAGTTTTTCTACCGCCACCGCCACCACCAAAACCACTGCCGGCTCTACGACTACTACTATTATAGTCAGTACCGGTGCCGTACAGCTGGCTGTCCTCGTTGAATGTCGACGACTGTAGTGCCGAAGTGGCTACCGATTCTTTATAGCGCTGAGCAGTGGTCGGCACACGAATCGGCTGTTGTCTGTATTGTTGTTGTGGCTCCAAATCAATCACTTCCGTATGCTGTCGGTGACGCTGTTTTCCCGGTCCGCCGCCGGCCAGCGCTTTGTCCAACTGGTCTTCCAATGTTCGGCATTTGCGTTCCAATTGTTTCTTTTCGCCGTTCAGTTTCAGCAAATGTTCGTAAACTTTCTTCAGTTCCGATTCAAGTTTACGGCCTTTTTCTTCGGCCAACATTAGCGACGTTTTAAGTCCAGCGGCTCTCAGTGATGAATCATCTTCAGTGCCGCCACCACTGCGTCCTCCCGCCTGCGGACGACCACCACCACTACTACTACTTCGGTTAGTATAATCAGTGGCCGCCGCTAACGGCCGCACATCGCGGCGCTGGTTAGGCGTACTCATAGCTTTTGGTGTATCAATTAATAGATCGGGATACAATTGCCGGGCCCGTTCGGGACCAACTATATCGATAATTTCTTGATCCACTTCCATAGGTCGATCATCATTGTGTCCACCACCGGAGCCGCCGCTGCCTCTCTTATAAGTGGCCAACGATGCAAAACCAATCAGATCGAGTATCGGCTTATGATAGTCATTCCAATGCATTTCGGCGATATCCATGGGCTCCCGAAAGTTGTTGGCCCGTAGTATCTCAACCCTGGAGTTGGCCAACTCGTCCTTTAGCTTAACCACTCCTAATATTACGGTTAGTTAGTCAGTCAGTTCATCATCAGTTCAGTTCAGTCATTATCGTCATAAGTGTGGATCAATTTAATAATTTATAGTTTGTTTTTTTTGTGTGTGACAAATTTAATCTTATAGGATCGGGGGGGGGGGGCGGCGGAGATTAGGGAGRTTAGTTGTTATATAAATATTAGAGTTGTTATCTACCTGTGCCCACCCACCACCTCCCATTACAATCAACTGATTTGCATTTGTATTTTGCAGCATTTGATTAGTTCAAACAAACAAACAAAAATAATTACCGGTAATTAAAATTAAATAATATATATTAATACACTRTATATATAGGATACTAAACTATAATTGATTGGTCACCTAAATCAATACCGAAAGATAATGGCCACCGCCACCACCACCAGTACTATAGTTATAGTATACCACTACACCGTAATCATCAGTATATAAATACCCCACTCCTTCATGAGGGGGTCAACAAGCATACCGAGAGAGAGAGAGAGAGAGAGAGAGAGAGAAATAGAGGGGGGAATAAAGACTACTACGGGATTAACACAACAACAACACCTACGGGTCATCATCTACGGGTGCCATCACGTCAATTGGTGGCCTAATATCAATATCATATCCACATACCATACCATAACAAACACTACATCAATATCAATGATGGCTAATCCTCCCCCTCCTCCCACACCCACCACTAAATGATTATCATATATATCTAATAACTAATAAATTAATTGATGGCCAACTAGCCGGCCAGTAGTCAGTCGGCCAGCCGGCCAGTAGTCGGTCGGCCAGCCGGCCAGTAGTCGGTCGGCCAGCCGGCCGGTCAGTCATACTATATATATATATATATACCTTCCATATCGGTTCTGGTCAGTTGTGTTTGTTCGGCGATACGCATCACTTGCAACAGTACATCCTCGGACTCTTCGTAACGTTTCAATTGAAACAACGATCGGGACTTCAGGACATAGCCTTCCGGGTTGTTTGGTTCGCGTCGGATGATTTTTGTTGATTCGTCCAGTGCCCGATCGTAGGCCGACTGTTGCAAATAGTACCAACACTGGTTGAAGGCAGCCGACGGCCGGTTGGCCATTGCCGAATCGGATATATCGTCGGCAGTCATCAGCCGAGTCGACCGGTTCAGGCGTTTAATACTGCTGGACAACATTGACGCGGGTCGGGTCGGGTCTGTCGGTCGGTCCACTGGAGGTATGTGTTAGTGTGTGTCCACTAAATTGATTGATTGGATATTATCGGCGGTAATGTTTTGATTGTTTGGCCACTCAATCGATCAATCAATCAATCGATGAAACGGTTTGTTTAATACACTCACTGACTGTGTATACGATATATGTATTAATTATATTCAAAACCAAAACAATAATGGTGTATATAATACATACTGTAGTGTATATATATGATAGCAATATTAGTGTTTAATGTTTAGGGGCGGAGCATAGACAATGTTAGACATAGTTATATTATACACACAATTTTATTTGTATGTATATATATATATATTGAGTGTAATCTATGATATATCTATGTGTTTGTGTGGTGCTATGTACTATTGTTTTGGTTTTGAATATAATCGAATGGTTTTTATTGGTTAGTTATTATAGAAAATATACAAACAATAGTATACAACACATAGCATACAGTATAGCTAATAGTGTTTTTAACCAATCAAAACGGTTTAAATTTTTGCATTTAAAATGTGTGTAGAGTTTTGTTTTCTAAAATTTAAATTTTTAATATATATATGTTCCCTATTTTTTCCTAACTATTTTATTTAACCATGGTTATTATTATTATTAGATTATTTATTTTAATTAATTAATTATTAATCATTCAATAATATTTTCTTTAATAATAAATTTTTTTACTTTAATTTTAATAAATTTAAATATATTTATATTCCATAATTATGATTTTTATCAAGTTCATTGATTTTAAAATTTTAAACTTTTTTGTTGTTTTATATTTTTAATTATCGGATTTTAGTTATTGAATTAAAAAATAATAAAAACGTTTACAATATTTTCACCAACTTTTTTTTTAATTATTACATAATTAATTAAATTACATAAACATAATTAATATTTTTTAAAAATTAGATTAAACAATAATTAATAACTTATAATAGTGTAAATACATATATAGATAAAATTTATATAGTATATTACAGTTATAATATTATAAAGTTAATTATATATTAACCATTGTATGGTATCTTATCCAATGATGATCGTGTAATTATTATATATATATATAAATTGTTATATAAATAAAATGATTATATATAAATATTTAAAATTATTATAAAAAAATATAATGTTAGTAATATCGATGAGATTCTTGATAAAAAAGATTTAATTATTGAAAGCTTAAATAATCAAACTTACAATCAACAATTAATTCAATTAGAAAATAATAAGATATTTAATTGCATTTATAAAAACAAACATTTTTCAAATAATTGTTCAATAATTTCTTAATTATAGTTATATTATTTTAAATAATTCGTTATGGATAAATATTTTCAAACAACTCGAAAATGATATTGATGAGTTTTATGAATTATACACATCTAAATTTGGTGAAAACACTTTAATAGACATTATTATAACTATAGATAATTTTAAAAAAAAATTAAATATTGAAAATTAAAAATTAACAATTTATCCTAGAAATGAAACATTAAACCCAAACCTTAAAAATAATACCTTAAATTTACAAACAAAACATTCAAACATTTATAATTGTTCAATAATTTCAAATTATAGTTATATTATTTTAAATAATTCGTTTTGTTTAAATATTTTCAAACAAATCGAAAATRATATTGATGTTTTATGAATTATACACATCTAAATTTGGTGAAAACACTTTAATAGACATTATTATAACAATAGATAACTTTTAAAAAATTAAATATTGAAAATTAACTATTTATTCTAGAAATGAAACATTAAACCCATACCTTAAATATAATACCTTAAATATAAAAACAAAAAATTCAAACATTTATAATGTTAATTATAAAAAAACACTTCGATATATTATGTTTTAATTGTATAAATCGCGATGAATGCTTGTTTAATTGCATTCAAAAATCTATGAAATTTATCAATTGAAACATCAACTTATAGTAATTTTATTAAAGAGTACACATTAATATTTACAAAAATGTTTAGATTATTGCAATAAATTACAGGAATGAGTTGATGAATAATATGAGCTGAAAGTAGATGATAAATATATTGTAAAACAATGATAGCTATTTCAGTATTGTTATAACCAATAAAAATAATCAACATATTGATAAAGTAAAAGTGAACTTTTTAATAACTATATAATTAAAAATTTTTTAAAAAAATAAGGAATGTTTTAATTATGAATTGAGAAAAAACCTAAATCTAAAAAGTAATTGTTATTGCGTCACTGGTATTGCATCATTGGTATTGCGTCACTATTATTGCGTCATTGTTATTGCGTCATTGTTATTGCATCATCATTGCTATTGGTTGGAACTACATTGCGTATACATATATAGAGAGGGACTTATTTTACCATGTTAAATTTTCCTATTTTGGGTTTATAAACCATTCATTACTACTTTAATGGATTATATAGTTATTATAGAAATAAATATATAATTAATTAAATTGGTTAGTATTTAAATCCAATTTAATTTTTTCAATAACTTTTATTAATTAAATTATTTATAAACATCATTGATATAGAAATTATAAATTTTTATTACAATAAAATAAATATTTTATTTTGATTATTATGATTTGAAAAATTGTATCACATATTCAATGCGCAAGTTTTTTACTGACAATTTTTTTTAATATATATAAACATTTTCATTGATGGTTACCATAGTTATGATCATAACATCCATATAGCGCGCACAGTTAGATAAGCAGCACAGGGATGATGTACAGGAATGTCTACACATAATCAATACATATATATATATATATATATATATAGACACTTACAATATGTTTGTGTAGTGTTTTTATATTTACAGTATAATCATATGTTTTTATATATATTTGTTATGTTTGGTTAATAATAAGGCTAAACATAATATATATTTATTAATTTATATTTAAAAAACAATTATATTAATTAATTAATTTTTTAGATTTTAAATCAAAATTAAACAAAATCAAAAAAAATATAATGTTATTTATTGTCAAAAAAAAATAGTTTGAATATAAAAACATAATTTTTGTGTCATAATTGAATGAATGAATGAATTTTTGTGTACAGAATATTCTGTATTATATACAGTATATAATGTATTGTTTTTTATATATAATACATTGATTTGTGTCACTTATGTAAGTTATAACACAATAATAATAATAATGGCTGGGAGTGTATTATCCGGCAATCATATTGTTATTGATTTATTCAATAATAATAGTAATAATAAAAATAACTAAATAATAATAATAATAAATTTAATTGTTTTTTTTAAAAATACCTGTTTGATTTAATGTGTGATTAGACAGCACCGGGCGTTTTTTTTTTTTGTTTGTTGTGTTTTATGAATATGATTGAGAATAACTGTTATACAAGATATGCCGTCCATATTAAGGACTTGTTTTTTTCCTATACAAACTCTATGCCGATTCTCAATGGCATTGAGCTAACGGTGCCAAAGGATCGTATATACGGGCTGTTGGGTCCCAGCGGTTGCGGCAAAACGTATGTATAGTATACATGTATAAACAAATGTCAACTAATTATATTTGATTGTTTAATATAACTGTATGTATATTACAGGACATTATTGAAGTGTATATTGGGTCGACTGAGACCTAATAGTGGCGACATTAGTATATTTGGCGGTACACCTCATGAATGTCGTATACCCGGCGCTGGTGTCGGTTATATGCCACAGGAGTTGGCCCTCTATTATGACTTTACCATCGAAGAGTTGCTCATATATTTTGGCCGTATATTTGCTATGAATAGACAGGAAATGGTCATAAAAATCGATGAACTAATCCAGTTATTACAGTTGCCAAAGAAAAATACATTAATTGGTAAATAATATTTAATTTTTATTTTTTTAAATAATAATTTTTTTTGTCTAAAAAAATAGTTTAGATAACAAAAAATATTATTTTTTTTTGTTAACTATTTTTCCCAAAATTTTTTTTTATAGGTTTTACACAAAACTAATTATTATATTTCTATTTCTTTCTTTCTCTCTCTCTCTCTCTCTCTCTCTCTCTCTCTCTCTCTCTCTCTCTCTATACTATGATATTGTAAATTATCTATAAAAAAAAATATTAGCAGATATTTAACTAAATAAATATTTATATATATCACTTAATATTAAACATTTGAGTTATTTTAAGGAATTTTTTTCAAACAAAAAAAACAAAAATTATTAATTATAAGTAAATGTTATTATTATTATCAAAATTACTATTTAAACCAAATATTTTACTGTTTTTATAATCAATTTATATAAATAAATATATATATATATATAAAGATATATATTTACATAACATTTATTATAAATTAATAAATTATTATATATTGTATATTATATATTATATTGTTTTAATATTTTATAGTTAAACAATTTTATATTTATTATTTCATTTATTACCAAAAATATTTTGTTTAATAACATTTAATATTTATTATATTTATAGAATTAATGATAAAGATTTTTAAATATTTATTATTTTTGTAATATTTATAAATATATATATAATTTATGGTATATATATAAAATTATTTATAAATAAACTCAAAGTACAATAATTATACCAAAAAAATGTCAATAATAAAAGTTTATAGATATATAAATTTATATATCATAGTCAATAATTAATGGGATTTAATATAATATATACAGTATTATATAACTCCCAAATTGACTAAACTTTTATAAATTATATCTAAAATTATTTATATTGTTATTATTATTAATATATATATAAACATTACTATTAATATATATTATAATAAACAAAACACACAAAAAAATAAACACATTTTCTATATAATCATTTGATAATTATTAATCAAAATATTTTGTCATTTCCTTATTTTTATTATTTACTGTAAATTAGATTTTATTAGATATTGATTATTATTAAAATTATTATTGATATAGTAAATTGTGATAAAAATTATTAAATTATGATAAATATTATTAAATTATGATAAATATTATTAAAATTATGATAAAAATTATTAAAATTATGATAAAAATTATTAAAATTATGATAGAAATTATAACTTATAAATAAATAAACAATTATTTTTAATATTCTGATAAAAATATTAATTTAAATATATATAAATAAATAATTAATTCATTAATTTTATGATTAAAATAAATAAATAAATAAAAATAAATACTGTTTTAGTATTAATTACTTAATTAAAATATATAATTATTATAGTTAGAAGTTATATAACTTAAACTTTTTATTACAAAATTTTTTATATATATATAAAATTAATTAATTAATTCAAAACTAAATGCTTGAATACCTTATATATTCATCAATAATAGGCAAGATATCTGGTGGCCAACAGCGGCGGACATCGTTGGCCTGCGCTCTCATTCATTGTCCACCGTTGCTTATACTGGACGAACCGACTGTCGGTACCGATCCGCTACTTCGCCAGACAATATGGTATCATTTGCTCGGGTTGTGCCAGTCGGGTCTGACCATCATATTGACCACACATTATATAGAGGAGGCACGCAGTGCCGATACCGTGGCCTTTATGCGAAACGGCAAAATACTGGCCGAAGACAGTCCGAACCGATTGCTACAGAAGTATTCRTCGAAGACTAGTCTGGAGGAAGTGTTTCTMCAGTTGTGTCATTTGGATAGCGACGGCTGCGGCGGCGGTGGTAGTGGTGGTGGCGGCAAACGTGCCGCTGTCGTGACCGCTGCTAACGAGTCGGCAACGGCTGCTGCGGCTGCGGCAATGGATGACACCATGAAGTTGTCAATGATTACTGCTAAGACATCATCGTCATCCGCACAGGTAATTGGCGGCCAGTTATCTGTCGACGACAATCCAAAAACATCGTTAGACGGAACTATTACCGATATTGACGACCTGAGTTCAAAGTCGTCGTCGTTTTTGACCAACAATACCGATAATAATAATACGACAACCAAAACGGTCAGCGGCGACGGCGATATAACTATTAGTGGCAGCGGTAGCGGTGCTGTTGTCCTTACAATCGGTAGTTCGGCGACAACAACAATAAACCCAAAGACTATGACAACCATTAATACTACGGCTGTCGACGACGACAACCACTGCAACAGTGTTTACGTGAAGATAGTGGACGACGACGACAACAACTACAACGACAATAGCAACTGTCAGACAGTGGACAGTGAGCTCAGACATCGATCATCATCAAAGTCGGCTACCGTTGAAACCGGTGGCGGCGGCGGTTGCGGTGATTGTTCGGAAAAGTTGTTGTTGACAACAACTACCGACACAACAACAGCAACAACGACAACGGTTCGGATCAAGAATTCTCGTTTTACCGGCCGATGTTGGGCACTGTTGGCCAAAAATTTTCGCCGTTTGAGCCGCAATTGGGGTCAACTGGTATTTTTTATAATACTACCCGCTCTCGAACTGGCCTTACTGTTGGTCAGCATCAGTAGCGGTCCTATTGGCCTGGATTTGGCCGTTTTCGACGAGGAACGGGTCAACAATCGGACAGCGGCCAGTAATAATTGGGGCAAACTATTCATCGACTGTCTGGACGATAATCGGACATTCAATATACGCTATTTCGATACGTTTGACGCCGCCTATCACTCCGTACAAAGTGGTCAGTCGTATGCATTGATCGATATTAACGAACGCTTTTCGAAAGCCTTGCGGTTGCGGTACGTCTACGGCAACGATGTCGACGAAGAAACCGTCAGCGAAAGTCAAATACGTGTTCACATTGATTGGTCTAATCAGGCATTGGGCGCACAAATTGAGCGCATATTTTACGAAGCAATCAAACGATTTGCCGAAGCCGTGGCCATCCGATCCCAGGCCAATCCCGAGTCAATTAAGATACCGTTGGCTTTTGAGCGGCCAGTTTACGGCAGTCGGGACGAATCGATGCGCGACTATGTACTGCCCGGCTGCTATGTATTGCTAGCATTTTTCGCTACCAGTGCCGTCACCGGTCATCTAATAATGGATGAACGCAGGGACGGCCTACTCGAACGTAGTCTAGTGGCCGGTATTACCGCATTTGAGTTTCTACTATCGCATACCTTAACCCAATTTCTGATACTATGCCTACAAATTGCATTCATGCTACTGATGCCGTTCCTCCTGTTTCATCGTCAGCTAACTGGGCCCCTGTGGGTACTCATAGCCCTGGCCCTGTCCCAGGGGTTTTGCGGTATAGCTTTCGGTCTAATGATTTCGGCCCTGTGTTCCGATATTATCTATGCGGCAATGTTTGTGATTTGTATGTTTTTTGTTAGCATTATCATTGGTGGGTGTTTCTGGCCCATCGAAAACATGCCCCTCTGGTTAAGATACTGGAGCTATTTGATGCCGTCGACAATACCCATACAGTCGATGCGTGCCATACTGTTCAGGGAGTGGACAGTCGACTATTTTCAAGTCTATATCGGTTTTATTGTTACCTATGTTTGGTTCGCTGTCTTTGTTATAGTGGCTCTGATTTTTCTTCGACGAAGTCTTTAAAATTATTTTTTATTTATTTATTTTTTTAGTTTTTTTATTATCAAAAAAAATTTTAATAATTAAATAAATATCTTATACTTATTTTTTTAGTTTTTTATTTGGTTTTTAAATTTTCATTTTTTTTGTAAAATAATTGATTCCTACTGTATATACGTTTTTTTATATTAAATTTTGTTGAATTGTTACCAAATTTTTTTATTTTGTTTTTTCTAAATGTAATTATCATTAGTTATTAAATAAATTTTTCATAAAAATAAACAAAATAGTCTTAGACTAAAAAAATTTATGATAAAATTAATTGTATATAAAAATTTTAATTATATATCTATATATATGAAATACATTGTTTTTTAAAAACAAACAAAATTAATTATAACTTTAATTATTATTATTATCATTATTATTATTACAATTACAATTGACATATCAATGACTTAACAAATTGTAAAATAATTGTTTATAAATATTTTCTAAAATTATTAAATTTTATTATATTAAAATACTGTAACCAACAACAAAAAATTATATATAAATAATATTAATTATTACAATTAAATAAAATAGTTATTATTGATGATTGTATGTTATAATTAATTTTTAAAAATATTAAATTATGTTTTTATATGTTAATTACATGTTTTAATAAATAAATTTCTATTAAATTATAAATTAAATTGCATTATATATATACATATATAAACATTATTTCATGATTATAATGTTATAAATTAAATAATATATAGTATATATATATATATAATTATTTACTATCAATTAAATAAATCAACAACAAAAATTTAACTATAACTATAATATTATACTTTTTTTAAAAAAAACAATTATTATTATTATTTAAAAATTATTAAATAGGTATAAATATTGTGCATTTTATATATACATTTCATATGATTTTTTGTTTTTTAAATATAATTTCTAATACCTGTATTTAATATATCAATTCTGTATATAATATTAATAATAATAATTTTTATAATTTATATATTTTTTTATATTAAATTATTATAATAATAATTATTATTATTAATATCAATATTTTTATGTGAAATTGTTTCAAACAAAAAAACATTTGGCACATCAATATCGGACAAAAAAACATAAAAACAAAATAAATAAAAATAATATTTAATTAATTATATTTATATATTTTTTTTGTGGATAAAATTCATTATTGTTTTTTTTACAGATAGTCTTCATCATTGATAATAACATTGTTGTTTGAGATTGGGATCAGATCAGTGATAACTCTGTTACTATTGCTGACGACTATAGCATATGATGACAGACTCTGATCCTGTGTTAGATAACAGCCATCAGTACAGCCGTCGTCGTCGTCGTCGTCGTCATCATTGGCCAGACGTTTGCGATTGTCGTTGCGGTTGTTGTTGTGGTTGTCGTTGTTGTCACCGGTGTTTGGATTAGTTTCGCAAGTCTTGAGTCTATTGAAAAACGTCTGAATCAATGATCGCAGACTATTCTGTAAATTGTTTTGAAAAAATAATTAATTAATTAAAATAATATAATTATTAATAATAACAAAAAATTATGGAAAATCCTAATAAACTATTTTGTTATATTTGTTATATAATAAAATAATTTAATTAATATTAATTTTGTTAAATTATTGTTAATTTTAATAATAATTATTATTATTAAAATTAGTTTACTTATTGATATAAAAAATTTCAATATTAAATATTTAAAAGAAAAAAATATTAGATATTCAATAAAATTGATATCAAAAAGAAATTAATATATTTATAGATATATATATATAAAGTTTATTTACAGTATAACTTAGTTAATATATATATATATATATATATAAGTTAAATAAATAATAATAATAATAATAATAATAATAATAAGTGGCTTTCTATGGGCTTATCGTTACAACACTTGAAAAAAATATTTATTTATTTTTTAAATTCAAAACACTTTTGTGTAAAATTGAATAAAATTTTTCTATTTTTTTTTGAGGTTATTTTATAAGATTTGTGAGAAAATTGCGAAAATAAAAAATATATATATTTTTTGGTTTCTTCTAAAAAATCAATATGTAATACAAGATATGCGTGTATTTAAGGGGAAAAAATAATAATTTTTTATGGGATCCAAAAATTTATAATAAAAAAATATCTAAAAAAAATTTGATATCGATATTATCGTATACATTAAATAATTTATATATATTGAAAATAAAAATCTAAAGTAAAATACATGCTTGTTTTTTTTAAAATAAAATAAAAAGTAAAAGTATTGATTATTTTAAGGATAAAATATATTTTATAATGATTGAATTTTTTTTCTTTAAAAAAACTTGTCTTATATTTTTAAATAATAAAAAACAATAAAAAAAATTTTTATTGATTGTCTCTGACTGTCAATGACATTAAAAATGTTATAATTTTTATTATTATTATTATTTGTTAATTTATTATTATTATTATTTGTTAATTTATTATTATTATTATTTGTTAATTTATTATTATTATTATTATTCTGTATAATTTTTTAAAAAAATATTTTAGTATTTTAATGTAATTTACATTATTCTAAGTATAGGACAAGTTTAACACAGAAGAACAGTTTTTTTTCTTAAAAATAATATTTTTGAGAAAATTAATGTTAGAGAGAGAGAKAGAGAGAGAGAGAGAGAGAGAGAGAGAGAGAGAGAGAGAGAGATTAAAATGTTTTAAAACATCACAAAAATGTTTAAAATTATTAAACGAGAAAAACCTTTTAGAAATCATTAGGAATTTTATTATTATTATTATATTTTTTTGTTAAAAAAAATAAAAACTAAACTAACGTTTGTATAGAAATAAAAACTATTTTTTTCAACAATAAAAAAACTATGTGACCATTAAAACTATGTGTGAAATATTTTACAGTAGAAAACAACAATAATAACAAATAGTTTTTTAAATAATTGAAATATCATTTTTTAAAATCATTAATCTTTGTATAGAAAACACATACAGTATAACACAAATAACAAATAAAAACAAACATATAGTAATTTATATTAATAAAAAAATATATATAAAACCTATAAAAAAAATCTAAAAAATACAGTATTTATATTTTGTACACATTTTGTACACTTTTTTATAAGTGTCTTAATAAATAGTATAGTACTGTATATATATATAATATAATAAATTTAACATAATTTTTATTAGTGAATATATTAATAATAGATAAAATAATATATATATATAACAAATTAATTATAGATAATTAATTAATTATAAGTTTATTATTACAAAAAAAGTACAGTAAAAAAATAATTCAATAAATTAATAGTATATAATAGTTTACAATTAACATGTATTTATTTATTTTTATTTTATCGTTATTAATATATTTATAAAAAAATATAGTTTTATTTATCCTAAATTTTTTTTTATATAGTACTATTACTATACTCTATATATATAAAATACCGGTTCAAATAAAACCCAAATACATACCCGAAAGTTATCGCTCATAAAACAATAGACAACCGGATTAACCAATGAATGAAACTGTGATATCCAATGGCAGAAAAAATAGGTAAACACATAGATATTGTACCCGTATTTGGTACGTATGTTCAATATTGCCGGATAAAAGTAGACAACCAATGAAAATATATGTATCGGTAGCCAACATACGGCAAATAATAGGACAACTGTCGACAACATTTTGATTACCTAATTAATTGGGGAAAAAAATTATAATTATAATTATAAATCTATATTTATTTTAAACAAATTTTATATCAATATTCTGTATATAAATATATAAAAATTTATTTATAGGTTAACCATATTATTGATAATAATAAAATGATTGATAAATTGAGATATTTATTGTTAATAAATTTTTCTATATATATATATAAACTCATATTTCATTGTAACAATCAATCAAATAACAAATATTGTCAATAGTATAGACTCTATATTAATATATGATATATTGAATATTGAACTGTATATAAGTTTATATCAATATATATATATATATAGAAATTGTTTTTTTAAGTACTATTGCTATCAACTATAAAAATTTTATTTATTGATATATAAATATATTTTATTGAATGTTGATATAAATTTTTTGTTGTTGAAGTTAAATTATTAATAAAATTAACATTTTTATTACTACAGTATGTATTTTATTTATATATATATCAATTACAATAGTTTTTTTAGTAACAAGTATTGGGTAATAAATTTTTTCATAATTTTATCGGATATCAAAATAAATCTAAATACTAAATTTAAATCAAATTAAAAAATAAATTATATATATATATATATAATTTTAATTACAGTTAAATATCAATATAAATAAACACATAAACACACTCATACATACATTTTTGTAGTTTCTATTTAATTAGATTTAAAGTTAATTATTAATAAATATTGAAAAAAAATTCAAGTTTTATAACTACATTATATTTTACTAAAAATACAAATGTAATTTACATGTAACTCAACTTTACTATTACTACTACTATGGTATCATTTAAATTAAATGTTTGAATTATACTATAAATGTTGACATTTATAGTGTATGTATGTGTGTGTGTGTGTGTGTGTGTGTGTTTGTGTGTGTGTATATATGTGTGTTTGTGTTTGTATATGTGTGTGTGTGTGTGTATGTGTTTGTGTGTGTGTGTGTGTTTGTGTGTGTGTATATATGTGTGTTTGTGTTTGTATATGTGTGTGTGTGTGTGTATGTGTTTGTGTGTGTGTGTGTGTATTTCCTGTCCATATTGATTAAATTAATAAAAATCTAGCCAATCAAATTGTTGTACACTAAATAATATTACCTTATAATTATTGCGACCAATTTGTAATATATATATACTGTATATCAATGATAACTTATATTTTTCGGATTTTTATAAATGACAAATAAATTTATGGTTATAAAACTAAACACATATCATCATAAAGTGGTAAAAATATACGGGTATTATGAACACAAACTAAACTAAATTTTTATTTAGTTAGACTATAAAAATAGATTTCATTATAGATAATAGATTTTTATAGTATTAAAACATTATCCGTTTTGTGTATCCGTATTATAGCAGTTAGTAGTTTATAATAATAATAACAATAATAAATTGTTAGAAATGTAATTAGTAATTGAAACTGTGTATTAAATATAGTAAAAATAAATTTATAGTATATTATAGTACTATTAAAAAAAATAAAGTATTAAATTTTAGAAAGATATCCAATATTATCAATTATATTTAAATTATATAATATTATATATCAGTTAATATATATATATATTAATATATTAGTTAAGCTTTGAATAATAGCAAAAAAAAATAAGAAAAAATCATTTAATTTATAACCAACAACAACAACAACAAAAATATTTATAATCAATTAATTTTTTAATATATTATATAAATTTTTGTTTTAATATAATTATATTATATATATAAAAAAAATTCAACTGATTATTCTTGAATAAATAACTAAAATTATTTTTTTTATTAAAAAAGAAATATAATAATAATAATAATTAGTAATTATTATTAATGATTATATTAATATTAATTATAATGATTATTATTATTACTGTATTATTTTATTAACAACAAAAATAAATAAATACTAAATAAAAATATTTTTACCTTAATTTTGCGATTAACTCGTACGACATCGCGATTACGGTCGGGATTACCCGGCATCGCATGCCTGACAATATGGACACCGATTTTCGTATAGACAAAAGTCAGGGCCACTATCGGTACGAGAAAAGTGGCCATAAATACTGATACCGTATAGAATCGGCCGGCCGTTTCGTCCCAATCCTCCCGACAGTCATAGTAGACATGGTTTCGGTAGGGAAACGGTTCGGCTTTCGATTTGACCAACTGTGACGAGGCCAGTGTCGACCCGACTAACCATATCATACTGATTGCCAACAATTTGTGTCGCCTTAGCCATAGTAATGACCGAAACGGATAGACAATTGCAAAATATCTGTTGAAATAAAAAAACAAAATTTTTTTTTTATTTAACAGTTTTTTTATTAAATTTTTTTTTAATAAAATATATTAGATTATTATAATTATAATTATTTATTTATTTTTTAAATAAAAACAAAATATATGTAACACTTTAGTGTAATTTTTGTTGTTGTTGTTGTTGTAATAATATCAGTAATATCTCTAACACTTTATTATATTTTGATTTTTTTTAATAATATTAATAAAAAAATATCGATATAATAGATATAAATCTTTTTTTTTATAATTGAAATATATTATATATATATATATATAAAATATAATTTATATTTTCAATAATTTATATCTTTAAGCTAAAGTGTGGTAAATGTTAAACATATCAATTTTTTTATTGTTGTTATTACTATCACTATTGTATAAAACATGTATATAAATGTCAATTTTTTTAGATATATATATATATAAATGCATTAAATTTTATGGTTATTGACTCATAAATTATATATAAAAAGTTTATAATCTATATTATAATATTTTTGACAATCACTTGCTATCAAAAAAAATAATAATAATTTGATATAAACTTTTATAAAATTTTTTTTAAAAAAATATAAAACCAATGATAATAACCAGAAAATTGTAATAATTTTAAATTGATAGATTCAAAAGTTTAAGTCAATGTACACATGTATAGTAAAATTGTAGTTTTTAGTGTGTTTTTATAGATAGATAATTAAATATAAATTAAAATACATTAATATACTGTAATAATTGTGATGTCAAATAAAATAAAAATCACAATATATATATATATATTGTATATGTTATTTCTAAATTTTAAAAACAAAATTTTTAATTTAATTAAATTATGGAAAATCTAATTTTTGAGTTAATCAACAATATTTTTGGGATAATTATAATTATTTAATTAAACTTTAATTGGAAAATATTGTGCACAAGAATACACTATTGAATTAATTATGTAATTATATAAATAATTTTTGTTTTAAATTTCCTAATCATAAAGTAAATACAGTATTAATATATTAGTAACTATAATAGTAGTAAATTTAGTAATATTAGACTATATAAGTAAATATTTTTTTTTTGAGTAAATAAATCTGATATAAAATAATTATTATAATTTTGCTATTAAGTGTCAAAAAAATACAAATTACTAATTTTTTTTCATATGCAAATTATTCATAACAATTAATTATATTTGAATATTATTATTAATACAGTTATAAATTTGTCCAATAATTTTCAATAGTATATTACAGTAGAAATACTGTATATATATATATATATATTGTATAAATTTTTTTGTTTAAAAATAAATTTTATTTATAATATTCATAGGCATACTTTTTATTTAAATTATTATTAATGGTGTAAATAAATGGGTGGGTGTATCTTATAAATATTCACAACAAATTAATACTAAAAAATATTTTTAAATAATTTTATTTATTTAATTTTGTTTTTTGTTTTCTATATATATTTAAAATTGACTTTTAATTTATTTTTATCATTATATATATACTGTATATACTGTATAATTAAATTTCTATGATTAAACAAACCGTGCAATTATTCACTGGGACTGTCAACTTGTAAACTGTCGGCTTGTTTTTGATGTATAATATATAAGTTAAATATATATCATATAAATATTTTTCACATATTTATTATATAGCTCTCTCTCTCTCTCTCTCTCTCTCTCTCTCTCTCTCTCTCTCTCCTCATAAGAAATACTAATATATGTGTTAATTATATTATTAAATTTATTTTATATATGAATACTTTTAGTTAGTAAATTGACTTTAATAATAATATTATGCCTAAAGTGTGTGAGTGTGTGTGTGTCAATACAATAAATTACTTTATATTTTTTAGATTTATTCAATAATCTACTTTTACTTAATTTTGATTTTGGTTTAAGTGTGTGTGTTTCTATGTATGTACATATGTGTGTATGTGTGTGTATGTGTGTGTATGTGTGTATATGTGTGTGTATGTGTGTATATGTGTGTGTATGTATGTATCTATGTGTGTGTATATGTGTGTGTGTGTATATGTGTGTGTGTGTATATGTGTGTGTGTGTATGTGTGTATCTATGTGTGTGTATATATGTGTGTGTGTATGTGTGTATATATATATGTTTGTGTATGTATGTGTGTATGTATGTGTTAGTATATATGTGTTTGTATATATATGTGTGTGTTTTATATCAAAATTCAATCAATGAGTTGCAGTCTACATGAAAACAATTGATGACATTTTTTTTGTTTATAATCTTTATTATGAATTTATTTTTATTATTATGAAATTTCCTTATTATTCAAACAAAAAAAATCACAAAAACAAAAATGATAATTAATTGTTTTAATATTCAATAATTTTATAGTAAAACTATTAGCAAGAAAAAGATGATAATAATAATTATTATTATTATAATAGTCATTAAATTATAATGATAACAGAAAAATTCATTATAACTTTTAATACTAATTAATATTTATTTTTTATTTATTAATTTATTAAATTGATTATTAATTTTAAGTGTTATTTTTAAATGAGTTCTTTTTGTGGAAATATATATTATATTAATATAATTTTTTTTACAAAATAATTATTTTGATTAATTATTAAAATTTTAGCAAAAATTTTTTATTTAAATATTATTGATTTTCAATCATTACAACAACAACAATGTTAGACACAATTTTTGGATGTAAATAATAAATTGTTGATAACTATTATTTATTTGTTTTTTTGTTACTTGATATTAACATTATCATTCAAACACACACATATACACACACATACACACACACATACACACACATACACACACATACACACACACACACATACACACACACACACACACACATACACACACATACACACACGCACACATACACACACATACACACACACACACACACACACACACACACACACATACACACACATACACACACATACACACACATACACAAACATACACACACATACACACACATACACACACATACACACACATACATACAAATAATTTACAATACATTTATGTGCAAACCATTTATTGAAACATGTGTTTAATATTATATATTGAATATAAGATTAGAGAATATTCTGTACGTATAGACATGTTTTTGTCGATTTTTATTAGAAATTTATTGATTTTTTCTCTCTCTCTCTCTCTCTTTGGATAATAAAATCTATTGACTAAACTATTCATACAATTGAATAATATTAATATTTTTCTATCAATATTACAATTTCTGTACTTAATTGGCAAACAAGCAAATAAATTATGTGTATTTCTATAGTTTATATAATACAGTATATATATACGGTATATATAAGTTTAGTAAATGTTTTATTAGTCAATTTGCTTAATCACAAAAAATATTACAGATATTGAAATATAGATAAACTAAATAAACAAATAAATCATTTTATTATTATTATTATATATATATACAAATGGCAAAAATATTGTTACAATTTATTATTATATAAATTGATGTAGATAACTTAAACAAAACAAAAAGTACTATTGATAATTAATATATATATATATATATATATATATATATATATATATATATATATATATATATATATATATATAATAATAATAGAAAATTATTATAACTTATAATTTAAATAACTTTATATTACAAAATAGTTTAATTTTTTTACTGAAATTAGTGAATATTATGTTTTTTTCTAATATTTATTAAATTATCAATAATATATATATCAACAAATTGTTCAAACTTTTCATTTATAAATTTATACAAATTAAAAAAAAACTTTTAATTAATATAAATAAGTTCAATAAGTCTAAGATTTTATTTATTAGAAAAACTTTATTTTACTTAATTTTTTTTAACTAATTGCCACTTAATTAACTAAATTAACTATTTTCTTATACTATCAATATTTATTACCCAAAATATTTATCAATTTATTTTTGTTGTTGTTGTTGTTGGTGCTTATAATGACAAAATAATAGACAAATTATATATATATATATTTACGTTATATATATATAAAACAAAAAAAGTAAGAAAATTTATCTTATATTTAATGATCAATTAAATAATATAATAATAGAAAAAATGCTTTTAATTTTCTAGTGTGTCAATTGATTTGCAATTTATGACTGCTATTTGTATTATAGCAAAAAACAATATTAACATTATCTATAAAATAAGTACTATATATAATATATATATATATATATATAATATAAAACTAAAATAAATAATTAAATAAATAAATTTAGTTAGAAAAACAAATTTGTTTTTGTTTTTCCAATTTTTTTTTGTATTACATATTAACAACAAATTATTGATTTTTGTTTGTTTGTTTGTTATTATTATTATTATATATTTTTTATTATATTAACTATTGTAGGAATTATTGTTTGCAACTTTGTATATACTTGTATATAATATAATAATATTAATAAAATATAATTTTAGCAGTTATATAATTATTATTTAAAACTAATTGCTATTGTCAACTAAAGTTTTTATTATAAAATAATTATATATTAATATTATATTATATATATATTGTGTATTATTGTATACATCAAATTGAATATAACAATGTAAATGCATTATACAGTAATCAAGCACTTATTATTGTATAAATTATTATTATATAAACATTAAATAAAAAAAATAAAATAATAACAATTAGTTTTGTATGTATTCTACTACAAAAAAAAAATTCAAACAATAAAATATTATTATATTTATATACAGTATATATATATTTTTAATATAAATGAAATGTTTAATTATATTGAATTTGAAATCCTATTATAATTATTTCACAATGTTTATGTCTAACTAACAAAAAAAAACAAACAAATATTTTTAATTATTAATAATCTTAAAAATTAAATTAAAAATTTTATATAAATAATTAAATTTGTGACTATTGTAGTAAAATAA